CTGGGGAGTTTGATGTTCTTTCAAAGTTCACTCACTGGTTCATTATACCTTAACAGGAAATCAATCGAGAATCAAAGCTTGAACTGAATAATCTACACACGGATTGGTGTCGCAATGTTGCACACTCCTGCCAGGTAATGGTGTCCCGAGCGTGCTCTAACATCAAGAAGGTCATGCCCGGCGTATCTTTGGCTGACAAGCTACGCGCGTTGCCATCCGAGCTCGTGGTGGGCGATTTCTTTTCGGGCTCGGGGTCTATGCACCAGGTGGTATCGGCGGCCATGCGCGCATTTCGCAAGGAATGCCCAGACGAAACAGCTCACATCAAAGTCGCATGACTGATCTGACAAGGTCAAATATTCCCATCTCAAATTGCAGATGTCCGGGATCCAACCGACAGTTGACTCAATGTTTTTTTTGAAACGGATAGTTGAAGTTGTGTTAGAATGAGACAGCTTGAAATTAGCACTCGTTACTTGTTTGTTACCCTAGCGGTCGTGCGGACATACCGAGTGCACAACGTACTACGCAACATGCAATACACAAATTATGTGTGTGATGTATAATTGTTGACAACCAATATATAAAGCTTTCTCCGCCAAGGTGTCACATGCTTTCATGGCGGAATGGATCGCAATGAAGCAGAGGTTTCTCTTGTCTGCCTACGACGACAAAGGATGCTGTTTGTTCAATGATGCTACCACTGTCTTCACCTCCGAGAGGTGGTGCGTGCGCCATGAGGCCAAATGTGTGCCTTGGCTGGTTCGTTTAACTGGTTCTGTAAATTGGCGAAGTATGTCATTGTTTGTGGGCTGGAGCTGGTGGGTTGTGCTGAAACTCAGGATTTGCCACACCGTCTGTGGCTGTTCAATGGCGGATTCAGTTGCAAGAGCTTCAGCCGCTTGAACACAGACAACAAGGCGCTCAAGCACGCCATGGCCGAAGGAAACGAGGCCGGTGCACACGATGTGAAACATTTATCGATTCTAGATTCGAGATACACCTTTTTGGCCTTTAGTTAATTTTGGATTGATTATCATTCTGATTCTGATTGACATTTTTCTTGCGTTCCACACCCTCTCCAACGGGCCCTGTGAGGGCGCTAGTAGCGTACTGACGTTTAAAGCATGCATCACGGCGTTGTCGACCCTTTCGCCGGACTGGTTTCTGCTGGAGAATGTCGACATGGACGACGACCCCGCCGCAGCAGACAGTAACTTGTCATTGATAAACGGTGCCTTGCAAGAGTGTGGCCCTGGGTTCAATGTCAAGATCTACAAGCTGTCAGCGAACGAGTACGGCCTGCCGACCCGCAGAACAAGGTTGTACTTCATCGGCTTCAACCTGCAGACACAGCCCCAGGCTAACTTTGCACGGGTGGACCGCCTGCTCTCCCTCTTCAAGCTGAAGTCACAGCCGCCTGACGCTCGTACAATTCATTGCGATTTACATTTGCTTTCGAATTGTTTCACAACCCGCTTGGTCCTAAACAAACATTACATTGTTTGACTTTTTGGTGTTGGCTGCTCCGGTTCGTACGCTCCATTTAAGCACAGTTGCCCAGGATGATTACATGTTGCCTGCTGACGCCGAGCCGGTAACCAACGAGTTGACACGCCGCATGCAGGCTCGTGCGCGGGCAGATGATAAGGCGTCTAAGGACACTTTGGCGGAGAAGGCAGATAAGACGGAGAAAGCGGAGAAGGATAAGGAGAAGGAGAAGGACGCTGCTGGCAAGTGGAAACAGGCTCACATGGAACTAGCCGAAAAACGATACTCAGCTTGATGTTTGCGTGGTTTTTGGAGTCGCTGAGTGGGATTTGGAACCTAGAACTCCAGAATTTAGAATCACAAAATATACTAACTTATTACTGGCAATTCAATCTAATTCAAACTAACTAATCATGATGGCAACTCGTAAAACAGGTTAACTGTGACCAGTGAGTTTACACACTTTTATAACCTTTACTTTATATAAGCTAAACTGAATCCAAAGGACAGAGCTCATAGTCTCATAGCGATTCACGGTTGTTTGTTGCTGCTGCTTTGCTCGGTTGATGGTTCAAGGTTGGGCCTGTTGGCTGGCTGCCTAATTTAATGGAACAGTTTCGGCTAAGCTAAGCTCAAGTCAAGTCAAGTTAAGATTCAAGATTAAGTTTGGTTGGCGGGTTGGTTGAATACTGGTTGTTTAAGTTGCGTTGATGGCTGATCGATCGGCTGGGTGGCAGTGGAATGACGTGGCTGGTTGAAGATTGATTAATCTGAATAACGTTTGATTGATTGCTGAGACACTGAATTGATTCCTGAATGAATGAGTGAGTGAATGAATGAATGAATGAATGAATGAATGAATGAATGAATGGTCAGGTGATCGGTCGTTTGCTTGGAGGAGGGTTGGTGATCGGTTCATGGTTGCCTGACTGGTTAGCGGCTTAGCGGCTTAACCGAATCACTGACCGGTGGTTGGTTGGGTTGGCTGGCTGGCTGGCTGGCTGGCTGGTTGCTTGCTGGGGGTCGGCCAGCGGGTTTTACTTTACTTTACTACTAGTTAAGAATACACTTTACTTAATTACTTTACTGTACTTTACAGTTACCGTGTTACAGTGTGCAGTAGTGTACAGTTTGCAATTGTAGTCGTAAGTTGTGGTTCTTTCGTAGTTTGCAGTCTACAATGATTGGGTCTTCGTCTGTTTTCACAAGGGGGGACCCATGTGGGTGTGCGATTCTCACCCTTGTGGTTGCGGTGTCGTTTAGTTACAGTAAGGCGGGATTCAATGGCCTTTGCAGCCGCCGCAGAGCTTGCAGGCTTCGGACTGGTTCTGCTCATTGAGCGAACGCGAGCAGGAAGACACTCCAGCTTGATCTTTTGGGGGCGGCCTCGTTTTTTTGCCCTACAACTTACTTGCAATTTCACAACGTACGTATGCAGAATGAATTGCGTTGATCTCTTTGTAATGCAATGCGGCTGTTGCTTCTTTGGCCTGTCTGAACCATGCGTCCAAGAACCACTTGTTTGTCCTGGATGCCTCGAACACCCTGAAGCAGACGAATCGGCCAGCGCTGCGATACGCGGACCTGTACCACAGCGCGTACCGCACACCATCGTCAACATCGGAGGTGCCTTGTCTCGGGGCATAGCTATGGCTTTCCGCTCGCAGCCATGTTAGGAGTCATTGAGTCATAGACAGTCATAGATTCACGTGTTGCTGTTGTAGTATTAGGTTCATTTGGTGCGCTTTTTGGCTCAAATGTTGTTCTCAGACAAATGAGGTGACACCTACTGTATTGCCGTCATCTAAAATGATGGACATGCAGTGCACTCGCCTGTTCTTGGGCTACTTGGCCAGTGCGATTCAGACTCAGGTGATTGTCCAGCTTTTCTACTTTGGTTTCAGTTTCGCAGGTCGTTGAGTTTGTATTTTTTCGCATTGACGCAACGTAGGACAACATTCGAATATGGGGGAGGGGGGGAGGGTGTTGCTCTAAGGCCGCGAACTTCTCCACTTGCAGGGGTTGCAATTCCCCAAGAGCCTTCTGGACAGCTTCTCGGAAAACCAGATGACAGACCTGGCCGGCAACTCGTGCCTGGGCATCAAGTTATCGTGGTGCTTTTGACGGTGATGTTGCTTGAGCCATATTTCCTGTGACATTCAGGCACAGTGGCCAAGTCAGTCTCAGACTCATCTCATTTCATTGATTGCGGGATCCCCCCACCTGCGTCAACTGCCCCCCAGCCTGCCCCACCCCCTGCCAGGTTTGCAACAAGTGTGTGCCTGAGCATATTCGTCGCCGGCATGCTGGAGCTTTGCTATGCGACGGAGTCGGAGGAAGAAGAGGAAGACGACGTGAACTTACTGGTGAAAGCGTCGCTTGTCGACTTGTCGACTTAAGTTTCCACTTCTTGACTTTTGACTCGGCAGTTTCATCATTTACCGCTTGGCACTTGGCCCCAAAAATCATGTTGCATATTCACGGTGCTTTAACTTTTTCTGTTTTTCATATTACTGTCCATCGATGATGTTTTCCATGCTATCCAAGGCTGCAGAAGCATCGTGGCTGAGCCGCTGGAACTTCAAGATGATCTACCTTGCATGCTTGGCCCTTTCTTGAGTCGGGCTGAATAAGAGATGATGTGTGCTCGGGCTTTTTTTGCTGGCCGACCAGCACGCGAGCAGAAAGAACACACTAATGAAGTCTATGAAGTGCGCATTTCAATTTCATTTTCAACCAAATTGTTTTGGTATTTAGTATTGAGTCGTATTGAGTTATGAAACTACGATATGTTGAACTATTATTGGATCATTGCATACTGAATATTGCAATTGTAAACATATTGTAAACCAAATATATGTAGATATAGTTCTTCAATGCTTCAACTTTGAGCACCACTGGTCGACTGGCCCTGCCCTTGACTTTGAACGGCGCCGTCGCCTGTTGTCGTCGCTGTTGGCGTAGCTCCGAGCAACTCTTCAAACTTCAAGCTTCAAAGTCAAGCACGCGCCTGAAATAACTCCAAGCATTCGTCTTAAATCTTAATGCTTTTGAATCTTTGGAACCAGCTCGCCAACCGCCCATGCGCCGCTCGTGCGTCACTCGTTCATTGCGCGCTCACCGCGCCCACGCCGCGCGCGCTGCCGCTCACAGCGCGCGCTCGTCGCTCGCTCATTGCTCGCGCGCCGCTTTCTCGCCGCGCGCGCGCTGTGCGCGCGACGCCGCTCACCGCTCGCGCGTCGCTCGCTCATCGCTCGTGCGCCGCTCGCTCATCGTGCGCGCTCTGCACGCGCTGCCGCTCACCGCTCGCACATCGCTCGCACGCCGCGCGCGCGCCGCGCGTACATTGCGCATACCGTACGCGCGTGGCCGCGCGCCCTTGCCGCTACAGTTTTTTAAGCCCTGTCATAGCATGACTTTCGGGTTTAGATAATATATATGTATATATAATTATATATGTTGTTTTTGTTTTTAAGGTTTAGTGGTAGTTTCCATTTAGGGGATCTGAGGACAGCCCATGGGTGTCCATGTTTCAGGGCAGCGCCGGCTGAGCCCGGAGCCGGCGGAGCCGCGGGTCCCGACTCGGCGGAGTCTGGAAAGGAAGCCGACGTGAAGGCCAGTAGACTTGAGACAAAAAGCGGCCAGGAATCTCGGGCCATCCTGCCATTTCCATTCTTTCCAGAAGAAAACCTCCGGTTTCCGCCAGGAAAACGGATCCGGTTCTTGAAAAGAAGGATGGTTGAAAAGAATGGGCAAGGAATCAACCCCTAGAAGTAATGGACCAGTTCCTCCAGCTGGTTGGTGTTCTTCGGGCTTCGCTTTGGAAGAAACCCGCGTCTCAAGAGGCTGGTGGGATGGCTCGGATAGGTTTTCAACATTGCCTGCTGGAAGGGCCAATTTGAAGTGAATGTCCTTTTGGCAGGGTGTGATGATAAAAGTTGGAGATATAGCGAACCGTGGGGAACCTTGGGGAAATCAACCAGCCCTGAGTTTACGTAAGCCTACCTGGGAATGAACCCTAAGTGATTGTTGGTTGCAGTAGTGCCGTATCTTTGTTGGCTCCGGATAAAGCCGCGCTACAGGTTTCTTGGGGTTTATTGCGGGGACTGGTACCCTAACCTCATGTGTTTGCCAGTCTTCACCATGGCTTGGGTTTCTTGTGCAATGGTCTTCCATAATAGGGGGCTGTATATGACAAACCTCATCCGACAATCAATCCAGGCTTCTCAACCAGCAGAAGCTGGAGCTGCCGAAGCTTCAGAGGCGCAAGAACCTGCTCCAATGGCAGATGCTGCTGCAGAGAGCGCTCCGGAGGACGGGACTCCTTGTTGGATGGCACATAAGTCTACCTGGGAATGATTGAATGAAGCCGAAATGATGGTTGGTTGCAGTACTGTAATGCCTTATCTTTGTTGGCTACAGGTTTATTGAGGTTTATTGCGGGCGTTGGTACCAGTCTTCATCATAGTTCGGATTTCTTGGGCAGTTGTCTTCAATGGTAGGGGGCTTATATAACAGACCTCAAATGACAATCATTCCAGGCTTCTCAACCAGCACAACCTGGAGCTGCAGACGCTGAGGCTTCACAGGCGCAGGAACCTGCTCCAGTGGCAGATGCTGCAGAGAGCGCTCCGGAGGACGGGACTCCCTGTTGGATGGCACATAAGTCTACCTGGGAAAGACTGAATGAACCCGAAGTGACGGTTGGTTGCAGTACTGGAATGCCTTATCTTTGTTGGCTACAGGTTTATTGAGGTTTATTGCGGGCGTTGGTACCAACCCAAACCTCATGTGTTTGCCAGTCTTCATCATAGTTCGGATTTCTTGGGCAATTGTCTTCAATGGTAGGGGGCTTATATAACAGACCGCAAATGACAATCATTCCAGGCTTCTCAACCAGCAGAAGCTGGAGCTGCAGAAGCTTCAGAGGCGCAAGAACCTGCTCCAATGGCAGATGCTGCAGAGAGCGCTCCGGAGGACGGGACTCCCTGTTGGATGGCACATAAGTCTACCTGGGAATGATTGAATGAAGCCGAAATGATGGTTGGTTGCAGTACTGTAATGCCTTATCTTTGTTGGCTACAGGTTTATTGAGGTTTATTGCGGGCGTTGGTACCAACCCAAACCTCATGTGTTTGCCAGTCTTCATCATAGTTCGGATTTCTTGGGCAATTGTCTTCAATGGTAGGGGGCTTATACAGCAGACCTCAAATGACAATCATTCCAGGCTTCCCAACCAGCACAACCTGGAGCTGCAGACGCGGAGGCTTCACAGGCGCAGGAACCTGCTCCAGTGGCAGATGCTGCAGAGACTGCTCTGGAGGACGGGACTCCCTGTTGGATGGTACATAAGTCTACCTGGGAATGACTGAATGAAGCCAAAGTGATGGTTGGTTGCAGTTTATTGCTATTGAGGTTTATTGCGGGCGTTGGTACCAACCCAAACCTCATGACCATGGCTTGAGTTTCTTGGGAAATGGTCGTCCATGGTAAGGGTTTTATATAGCAAACCTCAACCCAAAATCATTCCAGGCTCCTCAACCAGCAGAAGCTGGAGCTGACGCGGAGGCTTCAGAGGCGCAAGAACCTGCTCCAATGGCAGATGCTGCAGAGAGCGCTCCACAGGACGGTCTCCCTGTGAAACAGTACACATCACGGGGGCCAAGCTAAAGCGAACTTATGTGAAGGATCCACGCAACAATGTTGTTGCCCCCATTATTCAACCATTGTTTGATTGCTCTCGGTTCCCGTTAGGTGGGGAAGGAGGGGGATCGCGGGAATCGCGGGGAACCCTAGAGGAGGTTGCAGAGAAGACTGCTTCAGAGGCTGCTCCTGCACAGACTGATGCAGCGGAGAGTGCTGCTACTTCAGACAATGCTCCAGCCGAGAATGCTCCAGAGGTTGCTCCGGCAGAACATGCAGCGGAGTCTGTCGAGCCAGCTGACCAAATGGTGGCGGAAGCTGGTCCAGAGAGCGGCGCCACTGCGCAAGCTGAAGCGGCGCCGGAGTCTGGAGCGAAGCCTGCAGGCACCTCGGTGACAAATATGTTTTTTTTTTTTGTTTTTTTTTTTTTTTCAGAGTTTTCAATGACAACTGAGCAGTGTCTTGCCTGTTTGGTTGGCAGTTATATATATACACATATTTGGTTGGTAGGTTGCTTTGGCAGTTAAGTCAAGACCCCGTGTTTTCAATTATTTCCAACCAGTGCGTGCAGTCAGGTTGTGTGGTGGCATGCTTCATTTGGGTAAACAAAGGCAACAAAGGCAGCACCAATCTCACATGCAACAAGCGCCAGACAGTAGCAGATGGCAAAACCTTTCAGGTCGGTAGCTTAGCTGCTGTTTCACCAAAGGCTCGCCGATATTGGTCAGGCTTGTTGTTTTACCCTCCCGTGGCTTCACGTCAACATATCAAAGATCGCGGACTCCAAATGCTTGAGCAAGGCACGTGCCCTGTTTAGTGTTCTTGAGCCAAAACTTGGTGGGCAGGGGTGGTGCGAATTTGACGCTCGCCACTTTCCACAGCAGGTTGAACAGATGCAAAGGGGGGACTCGAAAGGGGGTCCTTTGTTTTCTTAAGAGGCGATATTACAGTTGATTCATCTTGAAATCCTGGTCAATCTGACAGAGTTTGTTTTTTGAGGCGAATGGAGCCTCTCAATGAAAACCCATCATGACTTGCAGTAAAGGGCACTCTCTCTCTCTCTCTCTCTTACTCTGTCTGCTGCTGTCCGAGGGCTGCTTGCTAGCTGCGTGAAACACATTCTGCTTGAATTCGGCTGTGGCAAAAGCTGCGCTTGCTGACGTTTGCACATGCAAGGCAGCACCACAGAGTTTGCTTGTCATCTGAAAGGCATAAGCTCTTTTTGGGGCCATCCAAACAAGGGCAAGTAGGAACCGCAACGAGCTTCGCTTGGCAATGTTGTCCCTGATGCAAGCCACCTGAAGCTCCAAACTTGCGGTGGACACCTGATGACATTTGAGACATCTGGGGTGGGCAGCATATACCAGAGAGTATGGGACAACCCCCCCTATGACAAACAAAGCAGCCACAAGTTGAGGTCTTAGGATGTGCTCACATACACACATGTGCGTGTGTATAGTCCATAGTACTTATACAAACAGTCACAATCAAGCAGCGTTTCATACGCACGTATGTACTTGCACTACACATTGACGGTTGCTCAACTTGGGAGGCTTCTGAAAACAGCAAGGTGGGCTCACCATTTGCGCAGGTTCTGACCTGCGCAGTTTCGAGCCACAGTCTTTCTTTTTGCTTGGAACGTTGTCATTGAGACACTGGACATTGATTTCTGAGTTCTCATGTTCCCGCTTGAAAACACACATAATCCGGCACCAGGGGTGAAACAAGGGAATCTGTTCCCGGTTGATTTCTGGGTGTAATCCGCTTGAAAACAAACATAGCCACATGGAACCTCATGCAATCTCTCAGGATCGAACGATGTGCCACGGGTGGCTTGGATGCAAGGCGCTATGGCGTCTACTGCGGGACGCTAGAGGCCAAAGAAGAGAAACATCAGAAACGTCCATTCGGTTAAGTAGTTTTTTGTTGTTCTTTTTTGTTTTTATCCCCTGTTGGTTTCAAAGGGAATCTATCACTATTGTTGTTTTTTGCTTCTCCAGAAAACGTAGGCAAACGGACGTGATGCTTTGCTTAAGCTGCTCATTTCACCCTGTGGGTTTAAATCTCATCGACTCCCCGGAGATCTGAAATCCAGTGATTAAACTACCCACCCGACAAGTTGTTGCTAAGTCTCCCTCGGCTTTTTTCCCGGAGCAAAGGGCCGGCGGGCGAGGTGAATTGATAGAGTTGAACACCCCCGCAGTTGACGGATACTGCAAAGCCAATGCATCGCCAACCGTATGCGGTCCGCAGGGCCGCAGGGCTGGTATTCCCAAAATGTTTCTCTCTGCCAGAAACTCTGTCACTGGAAAACTTGCAAGTATGGCCTCAGTTGGGGGCTGAAAGGAGAAACGTCACTTTGAATGTTCCGGAAGGTTGTTCGAACCAAATGAATGCTCAGCTTTCCGCTTTCCAGGCCCAGCAGCTCCTTTCAGAACCCTTCTGAGATTCGGGTTCTCAGACCCCAGGAGATTTCCATCCCTCTTGTTTGAACAGAACCGAAAGGATGCCAACCTTTGAAAGGGGATTCTCCCCCCCCCCAGAGAGGTCGATAGGGCCGGGCTTCCCCCCCCCCTCTAATCCCCAGGGCTAAGCGAGGGTCGGGTCCATTTTGAGATATGGCTGTGTCTTGTTTGAGGGTGCCCTCCCCCCCAAAAAAAAGGCTTTCAAGACTCTTGGCTTTCCATTGAAGTCACCTTCAAAGGGGGTCCGCCTGGTTTTCGGGCCCTCCCCCCACAAAAACCCAGTTGCCCAGTGGTGCCCTTTTTCCTTCTTTTGGGGAGGGGTTCCCCTTTAAAGTCCACCAAGCAAAATCGGATGCCGAATCTTTTTTCCCCTGGAAATCGACTGGGCATCTGAGAAAGGCGAATTTCACTGCCAGCACCCGGGTCCCCCCCCCACCCCCTGGCACCAAAAAAGCGCTTACCTTCAAAGAAAAGAAAGTACCAATTCAGAACCCGTGTGGTTTTCCGCTTGGTTTTCGCCCCAGCACCAAACACGCGGACTTAAACGATCCATTTGACCCATTTTCAACATGGCTTTTTCCACCAACATAAAGGGAACTTTTTATTTATAAGGTGTATAATGTAAGGATCCCTGTTACATGCCATAATCCTATAAGAGTGATCTCACGTTCGGGGCAACAGCTGATGTAAAACATGAGGACTCACCAAAAGCTGGTTGGAGTGCTCGCGTTGGGAAGTGGATCGGTGGCACTTTGACCCTCCGCTTGGCCAAGGAGAAGGGCCGAGTCTTGGCCGCCATCATCGAGGACAAGACCTTCGTGCCCGGCACCCCCGCGCCCATGCCCGGCACTCCGGCCGAGACCTCGGCCGGAGGGCGACAGGGGAGGGCGGCAGTGGAAGCCTTGGGGTGGGCGTGGAGTGAAAGGCCATGGTTTCAACCAAGAAAATGATTGGTTTTAACCACGAAATCCATGGCTTCAAGCAAGAAAGCGAGGGTTTCAGCTAAGAAAACAAGGGCTTCAACCACGAAAACGATGGTTTCAACTGAGAAAGCAATGGTTTCAACGACGAAAGCGCTGGCTCCCCAAGTGAGTGAAGATGAAACGATGGCTGCCCAAGGAAGTCGGGCAAGGTAAATGGACCCCGCTCCCAAAGATAGTGGGAAGCCGGCGCTGGATGGTTCGAAAGGCTGCGCGCGTGCCCAGGCCTTCGCCACCATGGTCCAAGATGCAAAGGCGGTGGCGAAGCCTTTTGCCGGGCCTGTGCAGAGGTGGCTGGTGCGGTTCAAACCCAAGGCCCGGCTTTTTCGATCTCGAGGACTGAAATGCGAGGACCCAAATGGTTATTGCTTCTCTTCCATTTGCTTGTGAGAATATGTCTTTATTTGTACACGCTTAGCGTTGCCCGGCTCGGCCAGTATGGCTTTGTCTGGCTTTGAGGTACTGTGTTTTGGTTTGCCTTGAGGTGTGGTGTTTGAGTGAGTGAGTCGGCACCGACATGCAGGATAGAGGGTGGGTGCATGTTCGCGCGTTTCCACATGGCCTGGGCTTCAACGAGAGCCGCCGAGAGTTACAGAAGCCCGAAATCTGGGCTGGGGCTGGGGCTGGGGCTGGGCTGGGGCCAACCGAAGGCTGAGCCATCAATTTGACGTTAGGAGATCTGGAGCTGCCCCCCAGAAGGTCAAATCTTCCTCTAGTTGTGGCGGGGCGATTGCAGAGAACTGGATTTTTGTGGACCTGGGTGGTTCCAGGCTTGCTTCAGACGGACTGGAGGCAGCTTTGGGGCTGAGGCGAATGTTTCCCTTGTTGGTCTTAAGGGGTCTATCGCTACTCGATATATATATATATATATATTTTTTTTCCAGGAGGCTTAAGCAAATGGGAGTTCTCCCTGGTGGCTGCGGTTTAGGGCAAAAAGGGTTGGTTTCTCCTTGGGTTGATTTCGGTGTTTCCTGCCACCTGGGGGGTGGAGATCTTCAACACAAACAGTATATGCTGTTGTCCAGTTTTGCGGTAGTGGCACAACCTCATTTGTGGGACTCTTGAGTTGTGCTTCAAGGGAATGCAGCATAGCTTTTCACACTGATATGCAACGTCTTGCTTCTTGCAGGACAGGTATTTTTGTTCAAACACCTCTCAGGTTTTGTCCTGAAGCTCCCTAGTTAAAAGGGCTGATTAACTACATTACCCAACATTCCAGGGCGAGGAGGGTGGACTGTGCCACGTAATTGACTTGTGAATTGAAAATGAGGGGTGCTGGACGATTGGTAGCGGGAAAAGTGCAATGCTGCCATTGACTATGGCCATTGTTTTTTGTGGACAACGGATACAACTAGGAAGTACGTTATGTTTTAGTTACACTGTGGTAAGTCAAGCAACCGTAAGAATGGCTTCCGGGATAAGGCTTGATTCGCATAGATGCAAAGTACTCAACTCCAATATGTTTGGCTATGTTTGGCTGCAAAGGAAGTTGTTGGGCCCGCCCTTGTTCATCAACAGCTGCCACATATCGTCCACACGATTTCCAAATAGCTGAGCATGGGGTTTCGGTATCCGTTCGTGTTTTCTAGCGCTTGCTATTCAAGGATTGGCAGATACCATCGGCAATGTGAAGGGGCTGGCAGCACCAGCTGTCTCATTGGAGAGAGGATATCTGCCGTTAATGTTCTTTTTTTTTTGCGAGGGTCTAATGGTACGCCTCACAAAGATCAGTGAGCGAGCAGCGGGCCCGCAAAATTCAGCCAATGCCCGTTTTTCAAGAGTGTCAGAGGCCGAATCATGGTTTCCCCCCTTGCGCCGTTGCATTTGGCATTTTTTTTGCAAGGCCTTGGAGATGTTCCTCATGAAGCACCCGCAGGTGGTGGGGGTGGACGAGGTGAAGCTCATCAAGTTCGCAGAGACCTTCGTCGCCAAGGCGGGGCCCTCGGGCCCTCGGGCCTGTCAGACCCCGAAGCCATGCGGACGTGTTGACGATGGACATGCGATTCATCGTCAAGGGGCGGGACCTCCCTTTAAAGCGCCAAAGTCGTCATGGGAGTCCCACTTTGATATCTCGCATGTTGGACTTCGATTTCCGGGCGAGGATTGGAGTAGACGGTAGAGAGTTGGACTATACCATACGGTGTTTCCGGCGTTGCTCCCTAGCAATTTGGAGGCTGGGAATCCAAGGGGCGTGATACGTAGAACACAGCAACAAATCAGGAGAGGTGGCTTTCTGGTTTCAAAGCCTGAGTTGGCAAAAACTCTTCACGGTCTTCAAGCGGGACTTCATACCATTTGCGCAGATGCGGAAACACGTCACGGAAAGTTCGAACTTATTTGGGCCCGTTTGGGCCCATCAGGAAGTGAGAAAAGGTGACACAATTGTTGACCAACAGCTTCTATTGATCAGCATGCAGAGTTTTTTGCTGCACTCCAGATGTCAGAAAGTATCGGCGTTGCAAGACTGTCCTGGGCATGAAGGTAGTTTACAAATGTGTGCTCCCAATAGAGGACTTGAGCTGAAGGCAAGGCATATGACTATGGTGGGAAAGTCGGGTTACCGGACCTTCGCTGTTCTTGGCAAGTTGTTTGGTTTCTGGTTTTTGGTTCTGCTCATGTTTAGTGGGCCGAAGCCCACTTCGGTGTAGATGGGCGTGAGGCAGATATGCACGCGATGAAGATCAGCGACTTCTTCCTGGCGGTACAGAAGCTTGGGCAACGTGAGCCGAACTGACATGCCCCTTGCGAGGGTTGAGGATATCAAGATGGACGTTTTGAGCCTGATGAATTGGCATTGAGTTTGTTGGTTTGCGGGTTTCTTTGGCATGCTTGTGAATGACCAACCAGTTCACATGGTTGATGACCAATCAAGTCAGCAGTTGTGTGATTCAGCTGTGAATCTGGAGTCGTACTTTGGGTTGCCACTGGCAAGTGAAAGGCCCCTGCGCTTGCCGAGTTAGGAGAAATAAGCCAAAAACCAGGGGCTGAAAGCATCCGAGCAAAAGTTGATCATCATCAAGGTTAGGCAATAGTACTTCATTGGTTTCTGAAGGAGCCCATGATGAACAGTTTCGAACGTCAACGGGTTTGGTCCAATAACTTTCTGAAAAACCAGTTGAGCCCATAATTTGGAACCAGGGATTGCAGTCCGAGACTGTGTTCCTGTTCCTTTAAGTTGGCGCGGTGCTGGCTTTGAACATAGTGAAATGGGAGAAGAGAGATGAATCAAATCCCAAAATTCGATCCTTCCAGATCTTTCGACTCAACTTTGGCCGCAAACTGCAGGCATTGCCTCACAGTGTCACAGGGATGTGAACTTGTTCTTTTGTCATGCCTGGAATCTGCATGTAGGAGTTGATCAATACTCCATGCAGCCCCACAATGACCCAATGGTTAACTTATCAAATTGCGCGGTAAAAGTCATCCTTTGGTGGTTTCCCTAGCCCCCACATCCCTGCAAACTAGGCCCACAAGCTCCCGACCCACAAGCTCCCAAGCTACGAAGCCGTCTGAAACGGACGAACAAGGCATCCAAAACAGCAAGCCCCACCTATTGCAGTATGGGCGCTTCCACTCGGCGCTCAAAGGAACCCCCACCTATTGTAGTGGCATCGGCGCTTCCACTCGGCGCTCTTGAGAGCCGCTTGTCCGGCGCTTGAGCCGCTGCCACTAGGAACCGCTTCGGGGAGCAGCTGCCGGAGCGCAAGATCCGCACCACGCGCTTGCTGCGCCAGGTGCTGCAAAAACGCCAAGACGAGGACAAGATGCCCAGCTTCAAAAAAGCGACCAGCTTCCAGTGGCTGAAATGTTTGTTTTCTGTTCATTATTGCTACTATTTTGCCATTTGGTTTTAGAAGGAACCTGTCACTACTGGAAAGTTGCTTTGATTTGTTTTGTTTTGTCCCAACTATGTGGTTGTTTCTTTTGTTTTGTGGAGCTTCTGGACTCGAGCCAGCCGGTAATTTGTTTTATGCTTTGTTCCGTTTGTGGCGGAACCTGCCTTGAAGCGCAGGGAATAGAAACAGGGTTCCAACAAATAGCTTCCCTAAAGCTTCTTGTTCTGAGTGGTCCCATTTCCGAAGCTTGTTGATGATTCCTTTCTTTCCGACGGGTCGTCGGGACCCATCAAACTGGCCCAGAAAAGCAGAATCAGCATGTCTGGGGACCTTGTTCATTGGGACTTCAGCTTGTTTTCCACTACTTGAGACATCTCACATCTTATTTGAAATCCAAGAAACAAACAAAACAGGTACTTTATCCAGTTGGATGGGCAAATTACTTCACAGCGATCTCACAAAGGGGCGTTGAAGACTTTATGGGAGGCATTGGGAGGTACTTTCCCGCTTCTTTTGGCTTGGTGAATGCTCGTGATTTGTCCAGATGTTTCACAAGGTGACTCAGTCAATGTGTCCCGCCCTTTCGTTCTGTTTCCCAGTTCCCACCAAGACATGTTCAAACGTTTGTATTTGTATGGAATTTTGATCAAGAGACACTTTTTTTTGTTGTTGGCAGGTTTCTCTCAAGAAGCTAGCAACTGCATTGTTTCTTCATGGGAAGGAGCAGGATTCGGCTGGCAACATGTCCGTTTTGTCATGGGAACTTAGGCCCAGCACCTCGAAACTTTTCGCAAGAGTTCGGCTGGGAAACCTCTCGACTTTCCCTTCACAAGAACCCGGGACCCGTTCAAATCCCCTCCAAACCACGCAGGGACCCTGAATTCATCAGGTTTCCCATGGCTCACCTGGGGAAACCCAAGGAAGAGCAAGAGCTCCAAGAGCCTGGAGGGCCAGAAGGCGGGGCTATCGGGCTAGCGGGCAGGTGTGGGACACCGAGGATTGGGCCCATGTGACACCAAGGAAACTTCTTGATTGTCCGAGTCCTCGTTGCAACGCAGTAACAATTGCCCGCTATGGAAAGAAGTCTCGTCAGGCTCGTTAGGCACATTGATCCAAGCTTTGTTCGTGCAGAACCTGCGCAGCTTTTTTAGACTGGCATGCTTGATCTTGAATGAGCGTAGCAAAGGACGATCGAAGAGTTGTGAGGCGATGCGTAGAGATGCATCGAGGGTGAGAGAAGTTTGTCGACGTCGAGGGCTTCAATGTTGACTCAGTTCTGGAGATTTTCTCCTGCACGGTGAATGATTTGAGTGGTTCATCAACTGAGCACCCAGATAAGAACCTAGTTTGTTTGATGAATTGTCACGCACCACTTCCCCGCAGGAGCGAAAAATGGTGGCCGGCAAGAAAGGCCTTGCCGATGACTACAAGGCCGCACTGCGCATGTTTCTGCGAAGGGTCAAGAGCTTGCGTCTGGAAGTGTGCTACTATGGCAGGACTCTCCTAAAAGTTACTCCCCGAGAGAATTTTCCCGGCTGGGAAGGTTACCTGTGGCTCTTGAAGCTTTGGGTGACATTCACAGGAGGTCCTGTCATGTTTCAAATGTCCTTCAAAGGGCCAAGAGCCAAGAGGAGCCGATCTATTGCGAGCTGCTTGAAGGGGACGAAGCAGAGAATTGCAGTCAAAAGGGCCACCTGGTTCCAGCCTTGGCTCAGATGGTGGTCGAAGAAGCCGACGATTTGGCCTGGGCGGTGCGCTCGTTGGCGCCCTTCGGCATGCGCGGCCCGGATCTCGTGGTGCGACCCCCGCCCTCCCAGGCGAGGCTTTTCCTCGAGCCTGCCGGGCTTTTTGGCGCCTGAGAGCGGTCTTTAGGATGAAGGCCCTTTTTTTGCCTTCAGGAGGTTGCCTGGGGGATTTTTGTTGCTGGGTTGCAAGGCTCCAAGCTATGGAAGCTTTCTTGCCTTCAGGAGGTGGCCTCTTTTTTTTTTTGCTGGGTTCCAAGGTATGGAAGTTTTCGCTTCTCCCCTTGGATTTCAGAAGTCTCTTCACACGGCCACATGGGATCCATGGGATCGATGCGCAGGCGCTGCCTATGCTGAAGGGCTTGCGGGGCCTGGCGGAATGGGCAGATCTGAAGCAGCTGCTGCAGGAGTCCAAGCGCCTGCGACCCAATGCCGGCGGCCGGTGTGTCTTAGGGATGGTTTTGGGCCGCATATGGCTGTGGGTCAAAACCCATGGTGCCCTTTTCTCCCTTTTGGGGTAGGTGAATTCACCACCCGTTTTGGGTCTAATGTCCGCCTCATGTTTGGAAACGCCCAACCCCCTCCCACCCCCCTGAGGTCGTACAGAGGGGGGCCTGTAATTAGAAGCTTGCGGCGGATCCCGGAGATTCCTTACCTGGCTGTTTCGCTTTCAGTCACGCACTAGGAGCTGAGCCTTTTTTTGGGATTTCCTGGGCCAAGCCGCATTGTGCAATTACAGGGGGGTTTCTAAATACGTTCTGGGATTTGGATTGTGCAAATACGCGGGGGTTTCTAAATATGAGGTCAACATTATTTTAGTGTGGATTTGGATGTTCACTGGGGTACGATTTGGGTTTTGACCCATGGCCGTATCTGCTAGTTTCCTTCCGCACGACCAACACAAATTGGTTCCTTCTGAGAATCACATTGAGAACAAAGCTCATCCCAAAGGCCCTGCCAGCAACTCCCAACCGCTTCTTGGACGACGGGTTTTTGGGCACGGGGAAAAAAAGTTGGGGGGGGTGCTGGTGGTTGATCCACACGCCCCGGCTAGTGTTTTTTTTTTTTTTTGGGGGGGGGGGCGGGTCATCCATGAAGCGCATTGAACAGAACACGTGTCAGCTTTCTCCAGGTCTCCTCGCATTTTCCCAAGATGCATACTCAGATAGGAACTGAACCCACAACGATGCCCTTGCGCCCATTTTCCCCTGGCTCAAAACACAAAAACGGAGATTGTAAAATGGCGATGGCGGATTCAAGCGAACATTTGAAGTGAACAACAATGGATTTCGTAGGTTTGTTTTGCCGTGGTTTTCGCATAATACGAGAAACCTACCGTGTTTTCTGGCTTTTCCTTGAGCAGGCTTGTCCAGGTCAATTTGTTTGGGCGGCGAAACAAAGATGCAGACCGTGAATCCTCTCGTGCATAAGTCAGGGAACCCACTCTTTGCAAGCATTCACCATAGCTGGGAACATGTCTTGCACATTTACTGTTTTCAGTTCGACTTGCACAATGAGGGAGAACTATGTGTTGTGGTGAGGCGGTTGCCGGCCGAAACTGAAAGGCTGAAGCCGCGGTTTTGGTTTGGAGCTTTGAGGAGCCTGTCAATGATGTGTGTAGCTAGACAAACCCCAAAAGGGATTACAATATGTTTTTCCCATGGGGTCCGCTCATGGCAGTTTTTGGTGCATCCGGATCGCTGACATCCATGTTATTCTCACGCTCCGCGCGGCCTCGCGCTGCCAGGAAAAGTCAATGGTGGATGGCTGGATGGATGGAGGGATGGATGGGATGGGATGGGATGCGATGCGATGCGATGCGATGCGATGCGATGCGATGGGATGGGGATGGGGATGGGGATGGGGATGGGGATGGGGATGGGGATGGGGATGGGATGGGATGGGACGGGACGGGATGGGATGGGGTGGGGTGGGGTGGGGTGGGATGGGAGGGTATGGGATGGGATGGGATGGGATTGGGTGGGTGGGATGGGATGGGGATGGGGATGGGGCTGGGATGGGATGGGATGGGATGGGATGGGATGGGGGATGGATAGATAGATGGGAGTGGATAGGGGATAGATGGATGGATGGATGGATGGATGGATGGATGGATGGATGGATGGATGGATGGATGGATGGATGGATGGATGAAAGACATGGATGGATTAAAGGCATGGATGGATGGCAGGGATGGATGACTGGTGGTTGGTTGGTTCGTTGGTTAAGTTGCGTGCGTGCGGCCCGCGCGTTGCGCAAGTGCGTGTGTGCGGCGTGCGTCATCAGGAATGTCTTGGGGAAGGCTGGCCCCAAACGCAGGCGATGCAAGGGATGCCGGCGATGAGCGAAACACAGGGGCTTCCAAAAGCGCCGACGATGCTGGCAATGCAGGCGGGTTGCTGCATATTTACAGTGTTTTGAGCCTTCCCCCAACTCGAGCTCCAATGGTTGCGGGGCTGGTGATGATGCACCAAAGGTGCTGGGCATGTCGACGATGCGAGGGGTCGGCGGAAGGCACGCCCCTTTGGGCAACATGTCACGGCGAGGCCGGATTTACCAGGCTGACTGCCGCCGACCCAACCGCGGCCGACACTTGCAGTTTACGGTCTGAACACGCCAGCCGATTAAAGCTCATTTGATCAATCAAGATGTCGAAGAGGGCATTGGCTGGAGCCAAGCGGCGGCGGGCTGCGAAGAATCTCCCGCCGAGTTAGGCCAGTCCCTGCTTGTCAACTTGCTGCGTTCGAATCATCACAGACTTTGGACAGGAACAGCTCCATGCAGTCATAAAGCTGGGTTCATCAATCTGTCTGTCCCAAGTCATAGCCGATGTTGGCGTCTGCGTGTGCCAGTTGATTGCAGCATTACAGCTAGGGGGAACTAAGCTCTCGTCTTACCTGCTCAAGTAGCCGAGTGTGCACTAATAGCTTAGCGGTCAGCGGGGAGTATTGCTTGCAGCAGCCCAGCACCATGAAGAGCCCAAGTTGCCGAAAAGTGAGCCTGATGTCTCAGAACCAGACATGGCTTCTGCCTTAGGGGATGTGGTTGCTGAAATTGATGTTTCGGCACAATGCTGCAAAAATAAACAGTCGCGATATGCGTACCAAAAAGTCTTGAATGAATAGATTTGACCTTATGGTGCATCAGTTTCGCCCAGGTTTCTTTGCGGAAGTCGTGGCCTGACACATGGAAGTCCTGGCGCGGTCTAATTTTGTGAGGTGTGAAATGTTGACGGCTGGGCTGGTCCACGTTTTAGGAAAAGGAGATCTTCCCCTATGGTGCATAACTCAATAGTTGTAAACCGCGCCGGTCCACTCCTCCGTGGTGAAGAGCAGGAAGGGGTCGGCGGATTCTAGATGGAATCTGCAAAAGGTGATTGGGTTGAACTATGGTTCAGGAGTTCCAATAACTCTTCGGGAAGTCGACTGGAGCCAATTGGCGCAATTTGCCCTCTCCAGTTTTGCCTGGTTGAAATCCGCAGTTCCCACCTTTTCCAAAGAAGTTCTTGTCTGTTTTTCCTTAACTTTCAGTTGTTGTGCAATCTGAAAACAGCCAAAGTTTGTGAAAAGGGGTGTGGTGTTGCACCTTCCGAGGCTGGGCCGGGTGGTGAACGCCCTGCGCCGGCACCCGGACCCAGACGTGGCGGGGGTGGCCCGAGAACTCGTGGACAGCTGGAAGGTGGCCTGTCAGAGGAAGAAGGACGGGCAGGGCGAGCCTGATTTGAACACGCTGCAGCTGCTTTGTGTTGGTGTCGGTGCGAGACAGCATGGTTGATTTGGGGTGGCTTCCATTTTCCACCAAGGTTTTTTTCGTTTGCCTAGATGGGAAGACCCTGTCAGCTCCTTTTTTCTCAAAAGAATGGTTGTCTCAACCACGCCTCGGCTTACTTTGCCCCAGTGGTTGCCCAGGCTAGAAAAATTGTTCTTTGAAGGGAAACTCGGCCAAAACTTCTGAGACACCAAATTTCCAGCTTGGGCCAGGCAACAGTTTTAGCTCAAAGGCTGAATGTATATGTAGATATGTGAACCCCTGGTATGAACCCCTACTTTATGGGTTGATTAACCGTTAGTTATGAGTTATGGCTTAATCATGCAAAATCAGCCCCCAAAACGTCCCAAATGGCCATGGCTTTTATATATGGACCTACACGGTCATTCTTTGATTAGCACACCATTGTTGGAATGTTTTGTTTACGCCTCGTCCTTTGGGATTCCCTAAGGAAAGGAACACCCCAGGTGCGGCCAAGCCAAGTTTGCAACCAAGCCAGTGTCCAAGGCAGCTCCTAACCCCGTGGCCAGGGTTTGCCTGCTGACCCTCCCGCTATTGTGGGATGAAAACAAAGGCCCCCCCGCCAAAAAAGAGAAAGAACGCAAAAACAAAACCAACAAACAGTGTGGTGACCCTTTGCAAAAGAGGAAAGAAGCAACTGGTCCTGAACCACCAAAATGTAGGTCATCGTATCTCTACAGGGATTTTATATCGATAAATGCACATATGGACGCACACGTATACGGGTAAAGTTGGATGTTTATACATAGACAGATGAATGTATTCGTGCATAAATATGTATATGCAAATATGTATGTGTATATATACATATATACATACATAATATGCATACTGAGTACATACAGAGTACAACCAAGTGGGTCTTTGTATTCATATACATATATATATATAGTATCTACTTGTGTACATTTCCCCTACCGCATCTCCATAGTTACTGTTGTTTCCGGAATGTACTGGTTCTGCCACAACATCTGTAGGAGCACAAGGAGGGCAAGGAAAAGGAGGCGGAGCTGGTCGAGGGCGCAGAGAATGTGCCGGCAGCCCAGGCAGGGCTATTGCTATCCTGCCTTTCTTCTGTGACCTGTTGGGCATCATTGTTGCATTTTAAGAGAATCTATCCATGTCAATGTACTTCTTGCGGAACCAATGGAAACCAAAAGGATATTGGCGAACCAATGGCCCAAGTCTGCCAGGAAGCGCCAGCGTCGGAAGCAGCCCAGGAAGCGCCGGCAGCCCAGGAAACGCCGGCAGCCCAGGAAGCGCCGGCTGCCCAGGAAGCGCCAGCCCAGGAATCGCCGGAAGCCCAGGAAGCGCTGGCAGCCCAGGAAGCACCAGAAGTTGAATCGCCTGCTCGGGAAGCGCAAGAAATTGAAGCGTGAGCTTCCAGGAAGGCGAGTCGCACACGTGCAAAAGCGCCAGGGTTCCCAGTGCACGTTGCAACCCTGGATGAAGACCAGGCTCGTAGTCAAGCGTCGGGCAAATGGTCTTCATGATTTTCGAAAGGTCATGTTTTTTGGGAGTGTGGCCGGCACACGCTGATAAGGCCGTGAAACCTTTGAGCCAACCGGTCCAATCACACGGTTTTGGTGTGGTGGCAAAGCGTACAGGATGTTTGATGTGTGGATGAAGTGCTACAATCTCCCTGGGGGAGCTTGCAACTGTTTCACCCATTGGTTTTGAGCAATGAAGAACATGACAAGTGGGATGTGCGTTTTCTGGGATTTGCTTACACATCGGGATACCGGGTTTCGTTGTTGCTCGGTACTTGCCAGGAACGTGACCTTGTGATCATGCGTCGGGAGCCCGAATTCCAACTGCCAGAATCGAGCCTTCTAACTTCCATTTGCTCAAGATGGTGTTTTATTTTCCCTTGTTGGTTTGAGCAGAATCTTTCACTACTGGGCATATTGTTTCTTTCTCCAGGTGCTGTCCATTGTGACTTGTTTGCAACAAGCCATTAACCCTCTATGCGTATAGCCATGTTTGTATTGGTTGGTTGTGGCCGGAACCAAAACAATGGTCTACACACTGGAAACCATAAGTGAACACAGTTTGGCCCTCCATTTCTTCCTCCATGTGGAGAAACCACCAATCATCAACCGGAGGTTGGTTTCCATTTTGTCTTACATCGGATAAGATTGGAAGATGTTTCGTTCCATGCGAGGTTCCGGTTTGGCACAGGGAAGCCACATTTCACACCCCTTTTCTTGCGATGCTGAGTAGGGAATGACCCAGGTGTTGGGAATGAACCTTACAGGAAACCACAGGGGATGGTCATTCCCTGCTGAGAACCAGCAAGTTTCTTTGTAGGGACTGCTGAGGCCTCAACCTTTGGTTGAAAATTGATAGATGCTTTCTCGGGTCACCACAGTAAGGTTCCTTGACTCTTAAAACAGGGGAAGAAAAAAAAAAAACGCTTTTCCATGTGAGTTTCTTGTTGGGTTCTTTGTTTTGGGACAATCTATCGTTGAGCTTTCAGTTGGGTGCGTGTATTTGGATATGTTGTGAGTTTCTGGCGGACAAACTGTGGATGGACGAAATCCTGCACCAAATTGAAGACATGGTGAAACAATAGTTTGTTGGTATTACGTTGGAATCGAAATAGAAACCAGGGTTTCTGAACGGTGGTGGCGAGATGGATTTCGCAACCATCAGCAAGTTGGGACAATTTTGGGACATAGATCGGGACAGTCTTTGCAAGCTTCTATTTTGGGCTTCAGCAAAAGAGACAAAACATGTGTATATATATATATATTTCTTGCGACTGTCTATTTCGAGTCTTTTGGTTTGGGGCATAGATCAGGACTTGTTTTTTTGTTTTTTTTTTTCCGGGTTAGGGACACGCCTTTTGGCCCCAAAATCCCACGGCCTTTAGGCCACGAGTTGGATCTGCGCCGCGGCGACGGCGCCATGGAGCGGCAGATCTCCACGCTGGCCGCGGACTCGATCGAATCGTCGAGTCGCCTCAAGGCGTCGACGTGTGTTCGGCGATCGCCAAGAAAAAGAAGATGTACACCCAACTTATTCGGGCGATATGACGTGTCTTCCGAAAAACAAAAAACAAATCAGGGGGTATGTGGCAATCCAAGTTGAAGATCGCTTCCCAACACAGTTACTCACTTCCAAAGTCCGTTTGGACTTTATCCATTTTGCGAAGATCGTGTACGGACTCTTTGGACTCGCATTGGCTAGTCCACTCCGGAAGTGAGCCATGGACCCTCTTTGGCGAGGAAGCACCCTTTTGGACGGCTTTCAGCGGAAAGACAAACCAAGGACCCCATGACGTGCGGGGATGCAACGCTTGACAGCTCGCCTTTGCAAAGACCGTATTCCGTTGCAAGACACGGTGCTTTAATGGGTATAATGTGTTGGGAAGGGTTTTTGTGTTCTTGGTCTTTAAGATCGTTCAAGGATGTTTTAACAGGTGCCCGGCCTATACCTTTAGTGCGCCTGCATCTTGTGAAGGTGAGGCATGACCTCAAGACATTCAACGATCCAGGTCTAAACATGTACTTTGGGAATCTCCTTGGTGGGAAGTTCCCCAAAATACCTCAGACATCACAAGCAAAGCTCTTCCTCCAATCTTTCGCAAACCAGATGGGTCCTCACCCTGTTCGGAGATGGCAAAGCAATCTCGGGCAACACAAGAACCCCCGCGCACACAGCCACGCACACACACACACACACACCATGGTGCCGTGTGTGTGTGTGTGTGTGTTTGTTGGGTGGGAATGGGTTGCCCGTGGGTGAACCTAAAGGTCTGAATTCAGGTTCACACAGACCTACAGTGCAAGGATCGGCAGCTCAAGAAGTGTGGTTGTAGCGGGAAAACATGTAGGCCCCTCTCCAACTGTGGGGAGCCCGGTATTTTCATGTGTGTCGCGTTTGTATAGCAACAGTTGCCACGTGTGCCAGCGGCATCAACCCTTGCGACAATGGATGCTCGTCAAGCAGGAACCCTTCTGAGGCAGTCTCCTACCGACTTGCCCATTGGTCAGGGCTTCACAATCTGAAAATGTGTCCCCTGAATCTGGGCCCTGGTGTTTGGTGGCGCCACACATTGGCCCCGAAGCGGCCGGCCCAGATCCACTATGGTGAGCCACATGAGACCGCGATGGCCAAAACCGCCGCTCCGCGGCATTGCGCCTTTCGAGACCCGAAAGTAACATGCCAGGTGTCAGCTCCCCTCCAGAAAAGCATTTGGCTTCAAAAGGTCAGCTCTGTATGGAGGATTTGAGGGGAGCTTCAAAGCATTTGGCTTCACAATTTGAGTTGACCTTGAGGTGAAGTTGACTTCCGATTCTGGCATGCAAGCTGTCGTCAATCATCTAGAGTACCATACCTTCTACAGACGTTTCGCTAGGATAACTTTCGGCAGGCGTCCGCCTTTGTTATTGTGATATCCAGGGACATCTATAATTATTGTTGCAAATATTTAGATTTGCCTTATTCAATCATAGCAAAACTGATTCATGAAGTCGTATAATATGATGAATGCACTGACACTAAGATATATTTTCATGGGACTTGGAGGGTGGCCACATGTGGCCACGAATTTGTTTCTCACCGCGCGTGTCGCAGATGTTGCAGGGTTTGTACAGCAGTGGAGCAGTGATGAACCTCCCCACAACACAGGCAGCACATGCAAACCTCCTCATTTGTCTTGCGGTTCCCCTCGTTTGGAAAACAACTGGGGCCCTCTCCGGCTTCTGCATGCTGAGGCCTCCCGTTGCAGTCCTTATAGAGAGATCCCTTGTCACGAGGCATCCAACATGAAGCAGCCTTCAGGTCCTAAGGGTTTTCCATGGTGCACTGCTTGGGACGGGTGCTGGATTTCCTAAAAGGGGCGGGGGCAACAGGTGAGTGATGCGGACAATAAGGAGGCGTGGAAACCCTTGGCTGAGAAAAATAAACTTCCTCCGATACAACTCCGCCCAATCCCTTGTCGCACGTTGAGCTGACAAGACTAACCTGCCCAAAGCCTACCTAATCGCCTTGTGGTTGGTCCCCATTCTGTTCCAGGTTTAGTCAAGGTTGTTAAAAGTGAAACTTGTTGTTTCAGGTCCCTTGGACAAGTGAGGCGAGCAAACGGTTCCAAGCAGAGTTCACCTCCTGACCCTTCAGCAGCTCTCTTGCCATCGAGGTGGGGGTCACTGCGGCCATTTGCGCCAAACTCATCCTCGAGGATCCCAAGCGCTTCGGCGCGGGCGTGCAGCGCCCCCTCAGGCGGGAAGAGATTCGAGCGCCATTTCGCACTCGCGGTCGTCTGAGCTTTTGGGATCTAGCACCGGTTCCTTCAGGGAAGGCCCTGACACAAGCAACAAGACCTACGCCTATACCCAGGCCATTTTTAGGGAGATTTAGCGTTTCCCCAAAGGGTGATGTGTTTGTCCGTGATAAATTTGGTAGTGGGTTTGGGCAAATCGTTTTTCTTGGGGCACCGCCTTCCCCGCACCCCAATGGCATTTCGGCCTTTCAGAAACCCTCGGAAACGGACCAGCCTTTAGAACCGGGCGTCTCCCCTTGGCCCAGTAAAAAGACGTTGGGTAACGTATCCGTTCATGCACCGGTTGCAAGGTCATTGACTCCAAGTATCAGTGATTCAGTAGTGCAAGAACCTGCTCTGGTCATAGCAAGCTGAGATCCAGATGATGAAGGTCGCTCAGCTGGTGAATTATCGGTGGCTTTTTCTGTTTGAGCTCTATGGCCAAGTGTCATTGCTTGTGAGCTCAAGGCGGGCAGGGTTCCCTGGGCCCCAATTCAAGTGCAGGTGATGTCTCAAACTTGTTAGGACCGTGCGCTCGACTTTTGCGTGACTGGGAAACTCCTCGATTCGCCCCATTTGCATCATCGAACCCTTCCATGCTTTCAGACACGTGCGTGAACCAACATTAAAAAAAAAGCAGCAGTTGTGCAGTGCACCTGACAGGAAAGAGTGGTACCAACCTGTCCTCCCCATGCTGGAGGCTGGCGAAATCAGTGGGCTCAACAGGCTGCCCGGCCTATGGACAAACAAGTACAGTAGACTTGACTTTTCGATGGTGCATGTTCGCAAGCTGTATTCTGACAGCTGTGCCCATAGTTAGGTGACGGTGTCGCATTGAAACCGGCTCTGTGGCCACAAGCCGTGTGCTTGTGTTGATCACAGGGTGCCCTGTAGTGTCCCTTGCCGATTGCTTGCGACGATTTGTCCGTAGTTGGGTATCCCTCCCGAAGGTCGGTGGTCCAAAAAAACATGTGGGGGCCCACGTGTCATGGGCCAAACGAGTGCTCGCAATGCCTGGATCTCAGAGACCAACGGCACGCCAACGGCATGCCGAGCAGCTTAGAGCTACCCCCGTTCATGGGCAGCGGCTTAAGTCAACAAAGCTGAAGCACAATTTGAAAAAAAGGGGCACACTCAGCGCATCTGCCTTGCCACGTGTTTTTGTTCACCTTGTTTGGTTTTTCCAGCGGGGCCTGCCATGGTCCAAGAGTCTGAGCGACTTTCTTTGCGGACAAAGCTCCTTGGCTGAAGTCAGAGGCCTGCCTTGGTTTGCTCCTGTCGCCCCAAAGACGCAAAGCACGGCAATTAGAGCTGTGAGAAAAAGCTGGCAGCTGGAGATTGTTTGTTACCCAAATGATGACAAAGGGTTGTGTTTTCATATTTGGCATGTCTTGCCTTGCTCTCCGCATGCCAAGCAACCGTTCAACTTGGGGACCCAACCCACCCACGTGGCACGAAATTCTAGGCTGCTGCTTGCACTCGGGCAGGGCGTGGAAGGCGCCCGAATCGAATTCGCCGCGTTTTCGGCTCGGGAAGCGCCGAGGAAAGTTTTTCAGAGGGGTCCTGAGATTTCCCCCTTTTGTCACGGAAACCAACTGGCAGGGATACAGGGGGAACCAGGGATACGGGAGCATTCCCTAAATGCACCCTGACCCAGTTTGATACGGGATCCCCCCATATCCCCGCTCCCTCCTTATCCCCGCTTGTTTGTTTGTCCGATTTTGCCTGTTATAAACATCACCTTTTTGGCCCATGGTGAGTGTCCCTTGGTGAGGGTGATGTTCTAAGGGGAAATATAGGGAGCCCTGTGCAAGAGTCTTTATTTGTGCGTGTGTTGTTGTGTATAGCCGTGTGTATAGCCGTGTGTGTGTGTGTGTGGTTGTGTGTTTGCCTCTGTGTGTGTGTGTGTGATTGTGTGCGTGTGGTTGCGTGTTTGCCTCTATGTGTGTGATTGTGTTGGTGTGTTGTGTATGCACATATATACTAAGAACATATTCATCTCACGTCCCGCATTTGTGTTGTGTATGTCCCAGTGTGCGCGTCAGAGAGAGGGAGAGAGAGTATGTAGGTGTTTGTGTTTATTGGTGTGAGTGCTTTTGTTGAACTGTAAATCGGCACTTAAAGCGAACAAAGGGAAAGGCGGCGCCAAAAAAGGCATATGTGAAAGCAATTAGAGGTTGTTCCACGGAACGCTTGACAGCTGCACCGTAAATGAATCAGAGATCAAGCGTTTTGGGTCCTTGTTCTGGTCATCACACTATCACACAAACTTTCCTTTGATGTGCCCAGATGTGTCGGGTGCACATTTGGAGGCCACCGGTTTGTTTTCCCTGTGTTCTGGCTGGTAAAGGATAACATATGCCAAGGCGGACATGACTTTTCAGTAAATCAAACGTTGCTTGGCGTTGCCTAAAAATCCTCCATCGCTCAATGTCCCGGCTTCCGGACACATATTTTGTACGCTCACATCGAAACTTTCCGGCGGCAAGACTTTGCTTTCTGCAGGTGCGGGCAAGACTTTGGCATTCCGGGACCCCGAAGCGCGGGTTCTTTGGCCCAACCAGAAGCTATCTGTTTCCATTGTGAACCTTATGCCTGTGCCTTGTCGAGCTTCTGAACAAACGCATGTTGAGCCAGACCTGTTAGTTGACCCTGATTCTTGATGTGACCGCTCACAGCATGTTGCCGTACGGTCACTTATGGAGAGGCCTATCCTCACATGACTCACAGCGGGAGACTGATCTCTTCCAACACCATGTCCAACGCAGCTCAATCCGTGCCAGGCATTTGGATCACAGTTGGCGGATATTATGTGAACAAGTTCTTCCTGGAGACTTGCTGTTTGGAGCCAGCGCTCGTGGGACTCATTCAGCTTGGCGTGCCTTTGACATCGATCTGGAGCAAATCTTCGGGTGTTTGTTTTGAAGTACCCCCAAAGAGGGCGGGTGAAAGGGAAGCCAAAACGCATCATGTACGGGAAAAGTCGACTTTTCGGACTGACGAGCGTCCCTAGGCTTCGTGCTTTGAGTTTAATCTTCCAATGGCTAGCACGCTTGCATCTCACACTTACTCTTTCTTGTTCGCACGTGGGTTGATCAACGCGTTTGAGTCACGCTGCATGCAATGACCTAATGAAATCTGCATGCCGAAGCACGAACCGCAGATACAGCGCCCAGCATGTCTTGTCAGGCCAGAGTTTTTGAAACAGTTCTGCAAGTGCGTGGCGGCTAGTGCTTTCTCGCGCATTCTTCATCTTGAATCCAGTTGAGGTTTGCCGTTTGACCCTCTTTTGTCACTCAGATAATACGGGAATTGTCCCCTTTTGGTTGAAAAGGGAAACTGTCGCAATTCGGAGCCTGAAACTTGCCACCTTGGTCGTGGGAACACCTCGGTATAGCAACCGACTTGGAGCATTGTGCAAAGAAGCTTTGAAGTTTTGCCGGCCACATTTTTTACAAAAAGGAGGACCCTCTCAACCAAGGCTCAAGGACTCTATCGCCCTACGCCTTACGTAAGCGGGTGCTATATTTTTGTTTGTTTCCGGGACCCGCTTGAATAGCGGACAAAGAGCCCTCATGTAATTCATGTCCACCCAAGGGTCCCTTAGGACTTTTCCGCCAAGTTGGGCAGCCAAGGTGGGTCTGTTCGATGCCTTCAACGACACGCTGATCGGTGCGCTCTCTGACAGGACCAACACCAGATGGGGTCCGGGCTGCCCAGTGTCACGCGGAGTTATGGATATGGGTCTGTCTTTTTGTTTAGGGAACCCCCCAAACTCTGAGGTTTTCTCTTAGTTTCCCTTTAAAACAGACCAAAAAGGGGGACACTCAGAAAGAGACAGACCCATAATATGTTTTCAACCACACGAGATATGTTGTCATTCGGAAATGAAGAAATGCTAAAACTAGTCCCATGGTTGACGTGGTGCATTGCAAAGGGTAGCTCAGTTGTGGGTGCGTGTTGAGTGTTCGAAAGAAACGTCTGCCGGTTGGCCTGTTAGTTCACGCAGAAAGCTGCGGCAAGAGGACAACACTGCACGCACGGTGGCGGGGAATGGTTGTTCATCGGCTGGTGGATGCTGGTGGCAAAATACAGGGGCTGGTCCTGGTAGACCCCAAGATGATGGTTGCACTCAGCTACGGTACATGATGGTTCGACCCGGCCTCTTTGCTCCCCCCAAAACGGCAACCCCGAACCGCTTGCAGTTTGACCCTTGTAGTTCAAGAAGTGTCCCATCGAGCAGCAACCGGCTTTGTTGTGAACAGAGTCGGCCAAAGGAATTGGCCAATGGTGGGTGAAGTGTAACCAAGTGCAGCGTAACCGCCTTTTTGTGTTCAACCAAAAAGCTCAGAACGAGGCGTTACCACAGCACCATTCTTGGACAACAAGCCAAAAGGACTAGCATACACGTGGACCCGGGCTAACTAAAAAGCTCAGAGCGAGGCATTGTTTCGGACCATTTTGAGCACAGCAACAGTTTTGGGGACAAACCAATTGGACACGCCGACACGGACTTGTTGGGCTTAGGCCGGCGGCGGCCTTGGCTGCTCTTTGGGGGGCCCTTCTTGGCAGCCTCCTATGTTGCAGCGCCCACGCTTGAAGTTTGATCCAGATACTCGGGGATGTTCCTTTTTTTTTCAGGGACCCTTGGGCGGTGCAATTGGAACATCGAGAATCCTGGAAGGTTTGGATTTGGTCCCCTTAGTGGCTTCCCTGTAGGGACTATGGATTAGGATTGGCCAACCCTTCATGTTGAACAGACCCGCGTTTTTACAGAGACCCCCAAAATGGTGGTTATGCTTTTAGTTGTCCTTTAACCCAGCCCCAAACAGTTGCCCTCAAAAATGTTTATTTTGCAGGGGAGTAGCTGAAAGAACTTGATTGTGAGTCCCGCAGGGTGCGGTATTTGTTTGGCAGGATTGGGGCGGGGTATTGTCTCAACTTGTTCCTTGCTGGTGGGGGTTAACTGGTGTGTTCGGTGTGTTCGATTTGTGTGTGTGTGTGCTTGTGGGTTTCAACATGTTTTCGGCTGGTTCCCCAGACAACAACTGCCAATCTCGATCTCGGCCTTTCAACCAAAATGATCATGGGACATATGCGATCTTGTGAGGCTTCTTTGTAGCTATTGTAAAACTGATGTGTATGTATGACAAGATAGAACCTCATGAACCTGCAGGGGAAAAGGGGTCCAACCAAGCAGGTTAACCTCAGGTTCCTTTCCAGGTTGCCTCGGAAGGGGAATAACGCAAATGGACCCGACATGACAACCTGAAAGAGGTCGTTTAAGCAATGGGTTTACATAGTCCCATGTTGAAACACGGGGCTTGAGTGATGTTGAAGAGAGTCATGGATTCTCGGGCTGTCTCTTTAAGGAGGGTCCTTTCCAATTCCGCCGAAGTCATGGGAAGCCCACTTTGCCAAACGAGTTGATGGGAGGCGGGCCAGGAACCAAGCCGACGTCTTGATGTGATTCATGCATGCGGAAATCAGCACGAAGTCAAAAACGTGGCGACCTGGGGCCCAGGGGACGTGCCTGGCTTTTGGAACCTGTGGTTCTCCGTATGCAAAGTGCACTTGCCGAAAGTACTCCTTGTCATAATCTCCACCAAGTCCACAGTTGAAAGTCAACAAGCGACTATTGCAATTGAATTTGCAAGAAACACAATGGTTCTGGCAAATGAACATTCGCAATAGTCAACAGTTGACTTTTTTTCTGTGGACTCCTTGGTAGAGATCCAATCGAAGTCACCTGTGGGACTGGAGCGTGTGAACCAGCCACGCTCCACTGGAAAACCTTGGTAACTCGTAGTAGTTAAGTGATTGGGTTTCCCTTGACCCCAGAGATATCCGGTGGGACAGTGGGATGTTGATGTGGTTCACTTGCAATGTTTCGCCTTGCAAATCGACCGCAGCCACTTGGAAGGGCGTGTAACATTGAGACCTGTTAGTGTTAACAGGGAATCGAATCCGAAACCAGGGTTTCTAAACGGTGGTGCGAAATGGATTTCGACAATCAGTATCATTGCAGGACTTGAATAGCAGCTGGGCTGTGTTGCTATTGAGTTCTCCTCAGTTTTCCCACTCGCAAGGGGCACTTGAGCCCTAGAAAGGCTTCTAGGTCCCCCAGTAGTGCCCTTTTACCGTTTCTTTTTTTGGGGAGGGTTCCCCTACTAAAATAGACTCCCGAAAAAAGAAGAAACAAAACGGTACCCTTATTCTAACCTACTGGAGGACCTAGCCAAGGAAACGACTTCAGACCTGTGCTTCTGGCAAGCGCGGGAGTCCCAGCGCCTGAGGTGTGGAATGCGCTTCCGCTGCAAACGCCGCAGGAGCTGAAGATGTGCCTCAGAAATGGCAGTGTGGCCTTTAGTTGGTTGGTATTTTGAAGGGAAAGAAAAGCCAAGCGAGAAGGCTGTGGTTGTCCAAACCGTTTTGGGATCCCATTTTGTTTGGGATTGGTGAATTCACCACCCATTTTTAGAACCTATTTTAGTGGGGATTGGGATGATCACCGGGGGTACGGGATTTTGAGCCATGGCCATATGGGTGTGGCTCAAAATTAAAGAGCCAGGGCAAACCGCAGGTTTTAGTCTTTGGTTCCATTTACTAAGGTGCCAAAAATTAGGCAGAAGACCCAACCGTTCAGAATACGCAAGAGGTTGCCAGAGCCTGGCTGCGACGACTTTCTTGTTTGCCTGGGGTTGTGACATAGCCGGGCCACCGTTTGTTGAGACCCCTTGTGCCGAACGTCTCAACCAGAAACGGCTTTGGCCAAAGGAACCGGCGTTTGGCGCACTTCCATGGTATGTTGTCCATTCTTTCCTGTGGCCGGGTTCTTGAAGATGGATATCTATTTGATATGGAGAAGTGAACATTTGAGTTTGAAGGGCAGATGAGCACCTAAACGCTCTTCCAATCCGGCCAAACGTTTGGCTGAGTCCAGCGTCCATTGTGTGTGTGTGAGGAGTTTCTTAGCTTTCCTTGGTTAATTCCTTTCCTTTTTGACACAGTAGGCTTGTGCTGGCAGATTCTAGCGAGTTGCAGGAGCATGAAAAGTCTGAGGCGGGGTTTCTGTCCTTCCCAGCGCTGGGAAGGGGCCTTAGTTTCTTCTGGCTTCTCTTCACTTACTCAGCCCCGGTTGAATGAACCGCGCCCATGAGCACATGCACAAGTCACACGATACAAGCTATGATATATGAATGGAATGTCACATTCACCAAATCGGCATGGGTCCGAACTAAGCCACCAGGATATGGACTTCAGGTCACTCCTCTCCATTTACCAGGGCAGCCCGTTTTGGGGACTTATCCTATCTGTTGACAAATGGGTGTGGGTTTCAAAATGGGTACCCAAAAGGCCCAAAATGGAGCCCGGGGTAATGCAAGCAGGGACTAAAATCTGCAGTCCCCTGGTGATCTAGTTTTGACCCACAGCCCAAATCGGATCAGCGAGGTTATACTATACCTTCGCCTACATGGCGGTCTCCATTGGCCTGACCTCCGTGCGGGTGCAAATCAGTGCCCTCCTTCCAGAGCTGACCAATGACTACAACGAGCGATGCTCGGCCCAAAAAAAAAACAAAAACCGAAACGACCAGAGAAATGTGCCCATAGGTGTCCTTTTTGGTTGGCTTGCTTCAAAAATAGAGGGCCCTGGTTGGATGGGGTTTATTCCATTTACCAGGGCCATCTATTTTTCCAAACAGCCACGCATGAATGTGCCCGTGCAAAACACACAAGCTTGAGTACAACCCAAGAAAGCTTACCCTAGCTTATATACTTTGGAGAGATTCAGGGTACAGGCTCACGGGTACATGACCGCATGTCTTGAACATATCGCAAAATGACGTGCGCGGATCATGTGACAGAGTGTGAAACTGAAAACCATGCCCGATGATGCCTTTGCCAGGTGCAGATTTGCATTGCCTCAACCAATTGAGGCCTGTGGACAATCACAAAATGGGTGTTGCCATTGAAATTTGGGGGAACAGGGACAGGCAACAGGCGGATCCCTCGGGATTGGAATTCTGATATTTGTTCGAGGAATTGTCGATCTTTCGCTCCCTTGTCCTCTATCGACGGTGCTTCCCAGCGAAACAAAATGGAGAAGACTGGCACTGAGCAAGCGGGCTTAGCTCTTGGACGAGGCTGGTCTGTACGGTAGATTCCCGCAGAGCCATTCACATGCCATAGTGTGCCCCATGCGGCGACAAGACACATTATATATATATATATCATATAATATAAATATATAATTAATATATAATATAAATATATATATAATATATATCAGATGTTATATACGTTTCACCGCAAAAAAAAAAGCACCATAAAAACACCATGGTTCTATGGTTGGAAGGGTGGAATCACAAGGGGAGCCTCTTGCGGAGGCACGGTGGCCTCCGGCTTCAACGTGGTGGGGGCCAACGTGTTGGGCCTCACCTTCGCCGTGCTGCACTCCGCCATTGTGGGCACTGAGAACAAGCCCAGCGCCCTGGGAAAAGGTGTGCCGTTCGGGCCGTGGGGAAGCTAAGGTAGAAAGGTCCCGGAACCCTGGAGGTTTGGGGCTCTGAACTACCCACATTGCTTGTACCTAGCCTGGATTTCAGAATTCTAGTGAGCCACTTGCTCAAAACCGATTCAGGTAGAAGAAGGCTAGTAAGGGCCAGTCCCAGCCAGGAATAGGTGCGGCCGAAATTTCAATTTCCTTGCATGGATTTTTTTGGGTAAACCATTTTGAGACCAGGTTTTGATTGGGACTCAAGTGGTTGGGTGGGAACCCAAAGTAAACCATCTCAGGGTTCCCCATAGGTAGGGTTTCCTCCATTTCCCTTCAAAGGGAACCTCCAAAAGTGGCAATCGTTTCAATGGAAACCACCAGTAGATTGCAACTCATGGGGAAACCTGGAGACCTTTGGTTTGGGGACATGTTTTCTCTTCATTTCCTTGCCCACATTCCACCTTCCAGAACCTCTCAGTGTTCCAACGTACGGATGGTTTGTTGTGCCTCCTGGGGGCATCGAACAGGTTTCCATTTGCAAAAGGTTCTTTCCCAAAGAATCTCAAGCAACATGCAGGCTCTGGTGGTTTGTCTCCCTTGCCCAGCGAATCGGCCTTTCGACTCAACTTTTGACCTTTTAGTTTCCCCTTATTGGGCCATTTTTAGTCAAGGTTGCAAAAGGTTAACTTTTAAATGGTCCCTAAGGGGCAAGTGGGTTGTTTTTCCCCATGACCATTCCAGGACACCGAAGAGTTGTTTCCTTTGATCAAGCATGGCAGTAGCTTATCTTACATCGTTTCTACTAGAATAAACTCGAGATTTGTGAATCGCACCGTGTACATCCAGACGCAAGGATACCAACCTGCACGGGGCAAGTTCAATTCCAGCGGAAATCCACCCAGGTATCCTTGTTGTGCCCCAGCACAAAGGGCCCATTTGCGCAACCAAAGCAGATCACATCTGTGTGCGCCTGGCATGTGTTGGTTTCCTTGGTGGTTGCCAGCCATTCCCTTATAGCTTTGTACCTTTTTAGGGTTTAGTGGGGATTTCCGTTTAACCCACCAAAAGTCAAACTTTTAGCGGGGGATTTGAGGGCGGACCAATTTCATGTGGGTTGGCTTTGAACAAATAAGTTCGGCACTCACAAGCACAGCCTTTCGATTTTCCAACAGGCGCCTAGGGCGCTATCAGCGTGCAGGCAAAATGCGCCAGTGAGAACTACTCACTGACTGTTGGGGTTTGTTTCGGTTTGTGGAAAGCACAGGTTCCTTTCTGCAGAGCGCGGCGATTTGCGCCTCGGCGATCCTCCTCTTCACGTGGACCGTGTTTTGCGGCATCAAGGCCGGGCGAAGACATGGGATCTGCCGCAGCGCGCCCTCTTTGCGGTTGAAATGTATGGACCTTTCTCGTGTTTCATGTTGGCCTGGCTTCGTGTTTGGTTTTCTGGCTGATTTACTCAGGCCATAGACTGTGCTAACATACCAAGGATTGGAATCCAAGTGCTTTCTTGCAGGCCAGTCTCAGACTTTTGCCAGGCTGAGGGCTGAAGCACGAGGGCTGGCTAGCTGCGGTGATTTTGTTGCGGGGGGTTAACTGCCAGTGATTTGCCAGGTTGACAAATCCATCTTGCCTGATGCAGTCGATGTTCTGTGAAGATCCAAACAAGTATCTCAACCCAGTACAGAAACGTCGTATCCGCATGGGCAAATTTGGGCATACCCATGGTCAGGTGACAGCGTTCAGCCACAACTCAAGTGTAGGTACTCCCATTGAAAGCAGCAAAGGGCTCACGAGACATTGGGCCTATGCAGTCCCTGGATATGTCTGACACCTTGCTTCTTGGGGTCACCGAAAGGGTCGTACGTTTATCGGCGGCACTGATCCATCTCATATATATATATATTTACATATGACACAATGTCAGGCCGCCAGGAACTCCGACGTGTGGGCTCTGCCTCTCATCAAAATATGGCAAGATCTTGTCCCCATGAACAGGATCAAGTTATTGAATGAGTTCAAGCATCTCCACGGGTCTGCGAATTATAGCGAGCTCACCGATTCTGGGGTAAACCGAGCTCAGTATACTGAAAGTCTTAATTTGGGGATCCAAAACTCTTGTTTTTCGGGTTTCGGACAACATATTATCTATTTTGTAAAGTTTGCAGATGGGCGTCTCCACGGTTTTTTTTGTTTACCCACAATCAACAAAAACAAAAACGACTTGTCGGCATAGTGTCAACGATGGACTCCAGGAGCGCTACGTGGCGCCTGACGAGCCGCTGCCTTCCAAAGGCATCCTCACAGAGATCGCCTGGGCTATGAGACAGTCGGCTGGAAGAGGGGAAGCCCTGTTTCAGGGGGTGGACCACGAAGGGTTTGGTTTTTGGAACAGAAACCACTGCCCTTGTTGGGATCTTCGGACTTCCGGCTGGTGGTTGTGAGGTTTTTTTCTGGTTTTGTTGATGCCAGGAGCCTCCTATGAGAGCCCCAAGGGGCCCGGCCCTGGCACGCGTTCCTTTGAAATAGGGATGTTGGCAGCTTTGGATGGGGCTTGTTTGGCCTTCCGAAATAAAAGAAACGAATTCAGGCGGCGCTTTTGAGCCTCAAGGACCTTTCGCTCATGACAAGGGGTCCCGCCACGAGAGGGGGACGGATTGCAACATTGTGAAGCCTGAGTTGTGCATTCCACCTTGTGGGGCATTCATAACCGCGCCTGTGGGATCACATTTGGGTGTGGCTCAAAATTAAAGAGCCAGGGAAACGCAGGTTTCAGTCCTTGTTTCCATTTTTACCAAGGTGCCGTTTTGGGGATTCCATTTTTGGAGCCACAGCCATTTGGCCATGGGTCCAAATCCAAATCGTACACACAGTGAACATCCCAATGCAACAACTAAAATAGGTCCTAAAATGGGTGAATTCACCTACCAACCAAAATGGGATCCCATTGGTTTTGACTCAACCCAACACCCCCACCCAACGCCCCCAAACCCCCCAATCAACCCCCCCAACCCCCAAACCCTTTGTGATTGGTGGGATCTGAGGAAACAAATCGTTTTGCTACGTCACCTTGATGTACCTGGCTGGGCCCACAGCTGTGACGCCCCCTGGCACTCTGCACTGGTGCCGGAACTCGCTTGAAATGGGGGGGCGCTGATCAAGGGGAAATAGGAGAAACGGATGGAAAGCCACAAGTCCTCCAGTTGCTCAAATGTTTGTTTGTTTTTTGAATTATTATTTTCCGTTCAGTTGGTTTTGACAGGAATTCATGATTGGAAATAAGTATACATTTTCCTGGGGCCTTAACCAAATGGAAGAAGTTGAGGGCGTCCCTGGTTTTACGTCACACGGATTCCTGCGCTTGCCGGAGTCGGGGTTTCTGTTGTGCCTGTCGTATTGCGCATTGATTCAACCTCATGCGCATGCAGTCTTGTGCCGATTGGGGTTTCAGGGCCGATTTCTGCGAACAGGGAATCATTTTTAAGAAGATGAAACAGTCATGGGTAGCATCACATGATGTTTTTCCACGCCATATTCGTTTGAGCGAGTGGAAGCTGAGGTTGACGCAGACAAACATCGCGCTGTTCTGCAAATACGTGCTGCGGGATGAGAGCATTCTGATGCTGCTGGTTCCAGTGGTCCAAGGCTTGCCAAAGACATGCTGGAGAGTGTACGCCGAGAAGCCAGATACGAAGATTCGAAGCAAAATGCTTTGGGTGTGGCTCAAAATTAAACAGCAGGGGTTACGCAGGTTTTAGTCCATGTTTCCACTTACCAGCCGGGTTTCCATTTTGGTACCGGTTTTTTGAGCCACAGCCATCTGGAAACGTGTGGGTACTTGGCAAATTTCCTGAAGATGCGCTCGCTTTCTACAGCGTGTTCGGAGCAGCATTCTCAAACGAGCAGGCCTTCTAGTAGCCTCGCATGAGAACACAGACATCGTGAATGTGGCAATTTGGGTTTCAGGGCCAGAAATACCGCAGGAACTGCCTTTTAATGTGAGAGAGTCGAGAGAGTAGTCTGGGGTATGTGCATCAAGCTCATCGCATTTTCCACAACCACGGTTGACCAACATGAGCCGGATTTGGTGAGTTTGCAGGAACTGGGCTCTTCATGATCCCCGTGTGGGTATTCATTGCCAACAAGACCAGCAAGAAGCACATCTACCTCCTGGGCACGGAGCTCAGGAGAAGAAACCAGCCATCGTGTTCTTTGCTTGGGTGCCAACCATTGGTGGAGTTTTTAAAGGAAGACTCCAGGGACAACCACATCCCGCCCAAAAAACCGCCACCATGATGCTTTTGTTTTGAAGGGGACCTCGGTGCGGTCTTTGTTGGAAGGGCTTTCCAAGCCTCGAGCTTCTTGGATGCGTTTGGCAAGCTTCGGAGTCCTCGCTAGAGCCCGAGCCATTGACCTGACGACTTTTTTTGGGGGGCTTGCCCGCGAGGAACTGCGATGTTTCCATAAGCAAGCCAAAGGGGAGGTTTCAAGCGGCGGGCTTTCGAGCTGTTGCAATCCAGGCACTTGTGCCGTGTGGGCCCGACTTGCTAAAGCAGGTTTCAACGCGTCTCGACCTTCTTGGATTCCTTGAAATTTGGCTCATTCTGATGTTTCTAGAGGACTTCCCTGCCTACCACATAGAGGTTGACTTTGATCATAAAACGCAAAAGTTTTGTGATGGAACTTGTATAGCCCCAAATTGTTGCCACCAGCTAATTTCTTCAGGAAAAGCACCGAAACACGATGTTCTGAGGATTGAGTGCCTGCTTAAAATTGCTAGTGGCTCCGCAAAAAGATGACAAAATCGCTTCGGCTTTCGCAAAGCAGAAGGGTTTCGAGAGCCAAGACACAGGCCGGGGGGATTTGTCTTGCTGGCTCTCAGCAGGGTCCCTGAGGGGCCGGATTTTTTTTTTAAAGAAACGTATATGGCCTCCTCTATTCGGGACTCCGAGCAAAACCGGTTCATTCAACCAACACCCGAACACCCTCCCCTATGGTTTCCTCTAAGGGATCTGTCAAACCAACACCGGGCGCAGCGATCAAGCGCCGAACTCCGAGGGGGGAGCATGCTGGCCGCCTCGATGGTGTCTCTCAACTTTGTGGAGTCACTGGAAGCTAGCCTTGTCATAGGCCAGGACCTTTGGTGGACGAGCCTCTGGTGGACTCCTTGGGTAGGGAAATCAAAAGGAAGCCAAAACAATCTGAGGGTTTCTTGGCTGGGGTGAAAGGGAAATCAAAAGGAAGCTTTTCTCATGTTAGGGTTCCCGATTTCGAAATAGGCGCCGTAATGGCAAGGTCCTGGCCTCTGCAAAGAGAGCGGAAAATGGCGTACCTAGAGTCTCCATGACCCTTTAAAAATGGGGTCATTACCCTAATAGTGGGGTCATGGACCTATTTTTCAAGGGTCATGCAGACTCCAGGTATAGGTTGCCCGCGCTTGGCCGATTCGAGAGAAGCAATTCTCGAAGTTCCTAGCTACCTCATCGGTGGTGAGGCATGTTGATCCAGGGAACTGCAGAGGAGATTCTCCTCCAAACTTCTGCCATGTCAATAGTCAATGCCTAGCCGAATATTTTAAGGCGTCACAAAGCTTCGTGAGGTCAGTGAGCGCTGCGTCGCTCAGATGAGACTCGGATTTTTGAGTTTGATTCGAATCTTAACAAACTCCGTGCCGGGTTTGCTGGTGTTGCGTTTCCTCGGGTATTGAGATACGGAAGTTGGACATTGGGACTGACTCGTTTGGCCAAGGCTCCATTTTCAAGAGGAGTGCCAAGTGCCTTCCATTGCTGGTTCCATAGGCAGGGAATGAGAAATGGAATGACCCCAAAAAGCTAGTTGCTATGGTTTCCTTTCAGGGACTCCTTAGGTTCATTCCCAAGGGTGATGCCCTACTGAGATCAGCAAGAAAAGGGCTGTGTATGTTTGTCCGTGTTTGGTGGGAGAGTAGGTATCTACTCGTGTTTTTCTTGAGCGATTCCATGAAAAAGGCGTAGTGGACCTGTACGTGCAAAGTCGGATCCCATGGAAAGCCACTGCGCGTCATGTGTTGGCATGTGCCGTGAGGTGTGGCGGTCGGCATGTCTCTGGCGGTTCCATACCTGGTCCCCATCAGCATGCTTCCAGATGTGGTGGAGGCGCTGATTTTCGCAGTCACTGTCAATTGCCCCCTTTTGGCTGGTTGGGGGGAGGTTGGTTGGTTGGTTGGCCATTCACCGCCGATACCTCTTTGACATGCCCTTTGGGAAACTGACCCCTTAAACCCTCTCCCCAAAAGGGTTACTGTATATACCTCGTAGAAAGTGGGTTGGCAACAAGGACGCCAAGGGACAAGGAGTATGTACTGCCAGTCTTAGATAGAAGGACTGCTGGAAACGCATGATGAACCACAGGGAAACCTGCAAGAGATGACTCGTGTCGGTCCTATTAGACTCCCATCAGAAGTGCCATGGTTTTTTTCTGGTGCAGAACCAGCCAGTGACCTTAGGGCTTTGTCCGCCAGAGAGTTACCGCGTTGTTGCTGCGGGCACGTCAAGGGTTAGGGGTGGGCGACCCGGCGTTTGTATCTCGGTCCTATCTTGATGTAGTCGTTCCGATTTTGCTCAGCCCACGTAGACTTGAGGTGTTTCTTGCAGGTTGCGACTCCTGAATTTTGCGCATTCACCAGCTAGCTCTTTTGGCCGAGCCACTTCCAGGCCAGTGAAACAGGTCGAAATTTGATGCAACAAGGCGCTCTACACATGAGACGTCTCCTATATCGATCAACCCCCTTCCTGGGCATCCAGTCGAGACTTTGTTTCTCAATGACTCCCTCGAGTTCAGAAGCAAACCAAATTCAGCACGTTGTCAAAACCGTTGAGAGCCGGTGAATTTGCTAGAACTCCAGGGGCAACAGGTGAGACACAAGAAGACCAGGATGTCCTTTTCCACCACGTCAACGCATCTGAGCATTTGGCCCTCTTGCCTCAAACGACTTTGCAACCGCTTGATTCCCTTTGTTTGCACAACCCTAAAAAGGCTTCAGCCTAGAAAGACACCCGCATTTGAGGCAAACTCTATGCGGTTCACACAAAGGTTCACACACACACAAACACCATTCCATCCTTCCAGCTTGGTTGGTGTCATGTGTGTGTGTGTGCGCGTGTTCGCACAACTGGGCAAGAGCTGGGAAGGCGGGATTGTTTTATGCGTAGTGTCGTGCGGAGGGACGTAGATGGTCATCACTGTGAGTGTTTCTACTCAAGTGAATCCAATGCACCGAACATGGCATTGCTTGCGGTTTGTCAAGGGAAATGTCAGAAGTGTCCCAGAAAGTCAACATCTTTGAAACATGTTGCCCAGTTCAATGCTCAACTCTTCCGTGCAGACGAACGTGGAGCCCCCAACAAATTAATTGGAGTTGCCCAAAAGGAACTCCATGAAATTGACGGCTTCTAGGGCTTTCGTGAGATTGCCTTACTTTAAGGGACCTGAAGAGGATTTGAGCAAATGGCGATCCCGTTACTTGCTGCTGCTCAGCAGGGACTGACCCTTTTAAAGGACACCATTCGGGATTGTTTATAGGGCTCATTCCCTGATTCCCTGCTGAGAACCAGCAAGTTTAGAGGCAGGACAAGAGTTCACGCATCGCGTGGGATGGGCGAAGGAAGACGAGGAGCTCACTGGGCGTCGGCGTGAAGGCGGGTGGGTAACGTCTTTCTGTTCAAGAGAGTCATCTCCCCGGGCTTTGGCGGCTTCCCGAAAACAACGATTGATTATTGCTGTTGAGTATGAAGCATCATTGTTGGTCTAATCATTGACGTCCTCTTCTGATTTTTGCGACACGTCAAGAGGTGCTATGGAGCTGGGGAAACCGATGTACACGGAATGGTGGTGTTTCGCTGAGAATTCAAGGCTAACCGTATGTCTAGGACACTCTTCCAGGTCTATATGCTGCTTCTCCCATGCCATCATTGTACTTACCCTTGGTTTCGTGGAACTTTCGCATGCTTTTCCTTGGATTCGGCCGTCGGAGCCGCTCTTGCCGTCTCGCTCCAGCAAGGAATGCCAATGGCACACCCAAATGATGGTCCTTTTAAGCAGTGTTGTCGGGCCCCACAGCCCCACACTACAGGTGCAAGCTTTTTATTTGAGGTATGCGAGTTTCTCCTTCTCCCCGCTGCAAGGACTGTCCATCCTGCTAATTTCCTGAAACGCCTCCGAAGCGGTGGTCCCTTTAATGCCTGTTCTCAGGCGTGCCTTGCATGATTCTTGGTTTTAGGACCCGCCAACCAAACTTCTTCGTTAGGATGAGAGTGGAATGGAGCGGAACTGGAGCAAAGGGGTACCTGTTTGGGAGTGTTCCTGAAGTTGCCTTAGGGACAGGAAAGTCGTTGAATGCTTGAGGTGTGCTCTCCGGGCTATTCACCACAGCCCTGAAGCTGTCCGTCACCGCCGGAAGCGTGCCTTGGCCTTGACGGGCCGATCCGCCAGAAAAGCCCGAGACGAGTGGGGGACTTTCCCCCCAAAATAGGCATGTGTCGGTCTTTTGCTCATCTTCCTGATTTGGGCTCGGCTCCTCTCAGCACCAGATGTTGGGGACCTCAGCTTTCCAGTTCCGTTCGCTTTAGTTTGCTTGGCTTTGGGTTCCTTGGTTTCTTGGTGGCTGAGTTTGCGCAGGCATTCCGCACTAGCCCCAATGCTATGGCTGCTCCCTGTGGAGTGGGAGTCTGCTTTGTCTCACGACGCAAGCGGATGGATTGCCTTCACAGCATTGGTTGTAGAAGCAAACAGGTTTTTCGAGCGTTTGCTCAGCTCTGAATTGGGGTGGGACTCGCCAGTCGAAGAGAGCCACGCAAATGGGAGAGGATACCCTTGTTTGGCGATGTTAAAAAAGGAAGCCAATGCGAAACCATTCACTTGGTGGATTCCCCCCACTTTGAGATTCTTTGTGACACCCACAATGCTGAGGTTGCACAGCGCGAACACTCGTGAGTGGTGTTTGCTACTCGTTTCAGGGGGACCTTGCCATGTCAGATTCCACATTCTGCGAGTTCTTTGGTGGCTACTCAAAAGCAGTTCAATCCTTTGGTACTTCCATTTGCTTAAGACTATTTTTTCCCATGTTGGTTTTGAAGGGACTCTATCACTACTGGAAATATGTGTTTTTCCTTTTTTTTCAGGGGTCTTAACCAAATGGAAGGTTACGAAAGCCCAGACTCTTTTCGGCGAACACAATGCGCCAATTCGAGCAGACCTGGGCAGGTACTAACCAATCTGATCTTGGAGCAGGTAGGGCTGGGTGCGAGGGGAGGGGGCTTGGGTATTGGCCCGGCGCGATATGGTGTTTTCTTTTTGTTGTTGTTGTTTCAATATTGTTTATATATGAAGAAACATTCCTTGGGGACCCCCCATTGAATGCAAGGCTACTGCATACTATGAAGGGCTAGATGAACAAAGTTGGGGCTGGATATACTGGAAGGCGAGGTTAAGTCATATTTACATAGCTTTACAAGACGAAGCTAAGTGATGCTCATAAGAGAAGGTTGAGTCATGTTCATAACCCAGAGGCTCCTGGGGCTTTCAATGGAAGACCCGACCCCTCCATTAGACACCCCGGAGGTGGTTGGGGGATGTTGGGGGTCTCAAAACCAGGTTGTTTTGAAGGCCCTAAATCAATCGGGAGCCTCTGCGAAGAGAATGAAGCGTGTAGTTCCTCAGCCCTAAGGGTCATGACCCCTCCAAGGCACACACCCGGAGCCTCCAATGCAGAAGCCCGACCAATTCCTCAAGGGCCCTTGAAAAGAACCAGTCTTGAGGGCCCAAAAGCCATCGAGACCCTCAGGCAAACCTCGAAGAGAAAAAACACATCCTCTCCGTGTTTTTTTTGGGGAAGCACATAAAAGGATTAAAATCCTCTCCCTGAAAAACAAATAGGGGTGAGTTTTTCCCAGGCTTTAAACCGAGAATGACCGCGTGCCGATTCCCTCAGGCGGGCTACGTGTCCCCGAGCTCCAGCTGCACAGCCAGCGGGAAGGTGGTGAGTACCGTGGAGCCGGACGTGCAGCCCCCGGCAGTGCTGCAGGCGGAGGGGCGGGGTATGTTTTTATTTGGTCTTCTTTTTTGTTGTCGTTGTTTTTAAGCCCATTTTCATGGCATTTGGGGACGATTTCATGACATGTAGCCATCCTTTTTGAACCATGTGTTGTGAGTTGTTTCATGGTGTTCTTATTGCGGGAATCTAAAGTAGCTATATTATGGTTTTGGTTGGTTGGAGGGTGTGGAGTGTGGGTGGGTGGGTGGGTGGGTGGGTGGGTGGGTGGGTGGGTGGGTGGGTGGGTGGGTGGGTGGGTGGGTGGGTGGGTGGGTGGGTGGGTGGGTGGGTGAATGGGTGGGTGGGTGGGTGGGTGGGTGGGTGGGTGGGTGGGTGGGTGGGTGGGTCGCTTGCTTGCTTGCTTGCTTGCTTGCTTGCTTGCTTGCTTGCGTGCGTGCTTGCTTGCTTGCTTGCTTGCTTGCTTGCTTGGTTAGTATGCTGCAGAGGTGGCCTTTTGGGGAAACACATCTTTAGACTTTGACTTGGGAAGGGAATCGGGTTGAGCAGATTCCATCTGCCAGAGATGCAGCTAAGAAAATGAGGGACACCCTTTAGGGAAACTTCGGTTGAAATCACCGACTAGTCCTGGTACGGTGGCATGCAGCACATTTTGAGGCGCTAGATTGGGATTTGCCAAGGATGTATTTGACCGCAGACGGTATGAAGCCTCGGCTGGCCTTCCTTTGGCGTGAGAATGTGGGCGGCTTCCGACTGAAGCAAGTGCTTTTTCCTAAACAGATGCTCCATGAATTCACCCGCAAAAGGACTTGAACCCAGCGGTCCTTTGGGAGGTGACTTCTGGATCAAAGTTTCCAAAGTCCCAGCCTTGGGAATGCGCGCCATGGCTCTGGCCCCAAGAAAGCCTTCCAGTTTCCGTTTCGCATGTGCCTTTGCCATCCTTCGGCTAGTGATAGTGAAGGATAGCCGTGCAGATCTTGCACGGCATCGGATTCGGTGGATGCCCGAGAGCAACCACACTTAGCCACACAACTATGGTAAATTGCATTGAATTGGTTTAGGGTTGGCTTATGGTTCAAGCAGGGGTTGGTTTGGGGTAAGTTTAGGGCACGTTCAGGGCAGGTTTAAGAGTTGCGAAAGGGGTTCCTTGTTCCATTATGTTCGGGCATCCTCCCCACATTGTGGGATCTGCTCATGTGCCGGGAGCAATGTGATTGGAGAAGCTCACCGCCACAGGCTGAATGCTTGGACTGAATTGGGTGGCGCGTTTTTTGGGGGGAACCAGTGCCTCCAGGATGGCGCAACGCTTCTGTTATTTTTTGGTTTCCTCGTTAAAACCACAAGAAAAAGCTATCCTAAAAAATGACATACCCACTAATTATGAACTCATGGCCAATTTGGGGCACACGGGTGTGTTTTTGAGGAACCCCCCCTTTTTAGGGCTGGTTTTAAGGGAAATGCTTGGCAAGATGTTCATGGGAATTCACACCGTGAGATGGGTGCTGTACAACTGGGGTTTGCTCCCTTAGGCGTGGGAATAAGATAAGCCAACTTGTTGGTTTTGGCGAAGCGCTGTGAAGGCGAGTTGTCCCATTTGGCGCAATGCTTGGGATTGAGGACTTTTAACAAACATTCCGGTTCACAGGACAAGCAGGTTCAACTGGGTCCAACGCCACGCTGGTGCCTGGCAGGTTATGCGGTGGCTGGTGGGTCCCATCCCGGCTATGTTCATTTTGCTCGTGCCTTCGCGGCATTCCTTGGCAGAATGTGTCACCCCCCCAAGTGCCTGCGGAATTCCAAGGCAGCACAGCATAGCGACCAAAAAGGGGGCAGCTTCACCCCCCACCCGGTTTCCTCGAGGTATAAATCTAACTTGTCTCTGAACAGACGGGTTTGCTGAGACGTGGTTGGTCCAAAAGGCACTCCCTGAAGCTTTGCTGGTGGGAAATTGGGTTTTAGGGTACCACATTCTGCGATATGTAGGGATTCCCCTTACGACAAAGTAGTCATGTTTGAGTTTGGGGGGGCCTATCTTTGGCTCAAACAAATGTACCAAAATGAAACCTTGGTAGATGGAACCAAAGACAAAGACATGCGTAACCCCGGCTCTTTAATTTTGAGCCACACCCCTTTGGACATGTTGCAAGGAACATATTCTGTCCCCTTGCCGAGATGGTTCAAAACATCGCCATTTGAGGCCAGTTGAAAGTGAGCAGTGTTTTGGCGGTGTGAGGCAAGATGCAGGGGCTCTAACTTGCTGGTGCTCAGTAGGAATTGAACTTCCGGATTTTGGGAATGAACCTTGGGATTCCCTCGAAGGAAACACCACAGGGGATTGTGGATTTTGTATTCGAGGTCATTCCATTTCTCATTCCCTGCCTATCGAACCAGCAAGCTAAGGAGCCATCAGTTTTCCAGGTTAGGCCCGGGAATGTCCGGTCAGTCCCAAAATGTTGGACCTTCCCCTTTCCAATCCAGGGGACTTTTTTGGGCTTCGAAGCCGAGTTGACCAGGACTGTCTTGTCAGCCCCATCTTTTGTGGTTGACCTGCCCCTGTTGCTCACTTGCCCATAGCAAATCGACCTTCTCAACTTTTGGTTTTCCCAGTTTGCTCCATTTTCATTGAAGGTCCCAAAACTTTGGTGCCATGGATGTTATGACTTTAACTTGTTGCCAACTAGTGGGTTTTCCATTAAACCACTAAAAGTTAGTCACTTTTAGCAGGGCTTCGCAGATTTCGTCACCGAGTATTTCATTTCCAGGTCCTTTGGGCCCAATGAGCTGAGCAGTTTGTGTGACAAAGCCGAGGCCATGTTTGCGGCCTGGCGCTTTCCCATCACGCCGGAGGTGCATGCAGCGAGGCGAGGTTGACTGGGCTGGCGCGTCTTTTTGTTTGGAATCGGAGCCGTTCAAAATGGCTGAACTGTTTTCCAGTTGATCTCCCTTTAACACCCAAGCAGAAGGGGGGACCTCAACAAACAACACATTTCACTCAAGGGCTCCAGCTTCCAGCCTTTTTGCAGGCTTCTCAAGTTGGACTCAGGTTTCTGTGTGGCTCCCGTCAATCCACTGGAGGTCAAGGTTTACTTTTGGATCCCCTTATTTGGGGGAGTCAAAGGGACGCATCTGGTGGCACGGAGTCAGGGTCGAATTCGCAAGCCAACAAATCGAGCGTCAAGCGGTTTGTTCTGGGCCCCCGGCAAGTCAATGGCAGCAGGAATGAAACCTGGCATGGGACACGTATACATATATATATATATATGTATACATATTATTAGTACATATATGGCACCTCCCCTGGAATACTCAGGTTTTTTGGCCAGAAATTGTCATTTTGGCTGTAAAAATGCATGTCGAGGCTCTAAAAATGCACTCCTTTTTTTGGATTTAAATATTAGCATAGCGGAAGTTTCTAAAACACTCGGGACTTATACAATTTGCGCTGTCGCTGGTTTCAGCGGGGATGCCTTGCTCCTTGAACATGCCATGCCAGAAACATTTGCTCCCACAACCTCCCAGCCGCAAACCAAATTTCAAGCAAACGCTGCAGCGCCTCGCGGCCTGAAACGGCACGCGTTCGGAAAGAAGACAGCTTCTCGCATCTGATGCTCGCTTCGGCGCTCAAGTTGAAGCTGGCACTCTATGCCGCACATGCAAGACTCTGGTGTGACTTGCTAGGAACCCTTTTTTGATGTTGAGTCACCATAGGAAAAAAGAATAACTTTTTTCTAAGTGACTTTTAGTGGAAACAATCCCAAAAACAATTAAAAAGGGAGCCACTCAACATCCCGTCCATTGCCATCCTTGTGAACCCCAAGTAAAGGTGTGCCTTTGATAAGACATTAAGCTCTAGTGATCAAAGCGATTCAGCCACCCTCCGCATCAAGCCCCAAACATAATTGCATCAGCGTGTCGAATGGCATCACAGTGCTGCGCATTGCGGCCTGCAACAGCACGCAGCTGGGGTGAAACACCGCGCCACCAGGAGGGTGACGGCATGCGGCATATCTGGCAGCCACGTCGCGTAGCTTGGCGAAGCCAGCGCCTCTTCTTTAATTCGTGCAGCACGCCCCTGCCACGAAATCTGCCCCTGACGAAATCTGCGCCAAGACTTGCGAAACTGCAGCGCCTGCCACGATATCTGTACTTGACCTTACGAAAGTGCTGCGCCTGCCACGAAATCTGCACTTGACCTTGCGAAAGTGCTGCGCCTGTCACGAAAACTGCACCCGACCTTGCGAAAGCGCTTGTGCCTGCCACGAAATCTTCACCCGCTGCTACGAAATCTGTGCTTGGCCTTGCAAAAGTGCTGCGCGTGCCACGACATCTGTGTTTGACCTTGCAAAAGTGCTGCGCCTGCCTCGAAATATATACTTGACTTTGCGAAAGTGCTGCGCCTGCCACGCAATCCGTGCTAGACCTTGCAAAAGTGCTGCGCCTACCACAAATCTGCACTTGACTTGCGAAAGTGCTGCGCCTGCCACGAAATCTGTACTTCACCTTGCAAAAGTGCTGCGCCTGCCACGACATCTGCATTTGACCTTGCAAAAGTGCTGCGCCTGCCTCGAAATCTGTACTTGACCTTGCGAAAGTGCTGCGCCTGCCACGAAACCTGCCAAGGACATGAAGTAGGAATGAGTTCCTAGTTGAGCTGCGAAACAAACATAATGACAGCCAAATAATCAAGCTGCTACAGGAGCGTTGAAATACTCAGGTTTTTGGCTAAAAACATAAGGGTGACAAATGCCTTGACACTCTGAAACGAACTGACTGGACGTGCAACTCCATGCAGTTTCCAGCCAAGCAGAAGTTAAGCTCAACGTTTGCCCGTCACATTGGCGTGCGCGAAGTGCACTTAAAGTCACATTGGAGTATGCAAAGTGCAATTTGGCAGCTCCAGCTCAAAAAGCGCAACTTTTCAGCACAAGAGTACTGCGGGCCCGTTCTTTGCGGATTGTTGCGCGTGGAATTCGAATCGGGCTTCGGAAGTTTGGAAGAATCGACTTTGGGGCACCCCTTTCAGGATCCCATGTTAGGCATTGGCTGGCGACTTCCAAGCGGTACTGGTTCTATTTTAAGGCTTCGGCTCATTTAAACTGAGGAATGGTAACCACAGAAAGAAGGCAAGATGACCCTTCTCGCGTGGTTTTGTGAGTCACCTTGCCCTTGTTCAAGTCAACTTCGTTTGGGTAAGCGGAAACGAGTTTTCGTTCGAGCTGGCGCAATGTGTATGCGGCAAAATCTAATGGGCCCTTGTGAACGGACCCTTAATTTGTCCCACTTGCATACCCCTTACATAGGCAATACTGTGAGTCTCAGCTTTGCCCATCGTACCTACACAAGGGGAACCCAAGAGGTATGCAAGTGGGACAAATTCAGGGTCCATAGTTTGGGTGTTCAGGGCACCCCTTTTGTGGTCGTAAAGGGAGCCAAAGAGAAACTCGTGGCGCCATTTCGCGGGTCCCACCCAGAATCAGAGGTTCTCCTGAGCACCCAGAATCAAGACGCCTTCCGGGGTTCGAAGGGAAGGGATTTCACTTGGTTCGAACCAAACACACCCCACAACAAAAACCGATCAAAAGATGGCAACTCGCGCTAAATGACGGGATTTGTATGGATTTTTTTGTTGTGTTTGTGTTCAGTCTCTAGTGCGGAAGTCCAACCGGCTCAGTTTCTTTGCACCTGGGTCTGGGCCTCATTCTTGTTTTGCGGGCTTGGAGCGAATCCAGGGGCAGGGGAGGGGCCTAGGGCTTCGGGCGTTGCGATGAACACTGACGACGAACCATGCTGGGGCTCTTTGATTTTGCAGGAGCCTCCCTTGAAGACTATTTTATTGGAAAAGATATGGCTTCCTAAAACCTAGCACGCACCTAGAAAATCCGCAGTGCGAAAAGTTTTGCCCCACCAGCCCGCCTCGTCACACCTGCGCAATGCTCCATGGGCGTTTTCAATCGGGATGGAGGGTGGGGGGGTGGGGTTTTAATAAGAACCCTCGTTGCGGGGGCTAGAGACATGCCGCATCTTAGCTAGCTGTTTCAGAAGAGATGGCGGCGTGGATGGCCGGCATTCTGTTCCAAAAACAAGACAGTCTATCAACGCTGTGCGCTTTGATTTGACTTCACTATGGGCGCAATGCCCGCTGGCACGCGGGGCAGGCATCCGTTTGGGGGTTTGGGTAACCCTTGCCCAAAGCGAAACGACCTGAAATGACCTTTTAGTTTCCCCTTGTTGGCCCATATTTAGTCATGCTTCCAAAAAGCTAACGTTTATTTCTGGGTCCCTGAGGGGCAACTGAGTGACTTTGTGTAGCAAAGTGATCCCCTTGAAAGTGAACATGGGATGGCACGCTGTTATATGACAGCCGCCCTTAGCGCGGCCTCTGGCCCAGTGCAGGATGGCAAGACGAGCGGCGTCAACTGCTCAGATCGCGAAGGAGAAGATGGATAACGTTAAGAGCGGCTCGGGCCATGGGGCAGACGGGTTGTTAGCATCGACTTTTGCTCAGTTGTTCAGTGGCACCCTTT